CAACAAAGAATACATCGGACCTATCCAGCTTAAACAAGGAATCTTGCAAGGTGATTCCTTTTGTGTACGCTTATTTACGTTATGTCTCAATCCAATAGCGTGGTGGCTTAGATGCACAGAAGGCTACACCTTCTCACACGGCACGAAAGAGAAACTGACACACCTACTATACGTAGACGATCTTAAGACCTACAGCAAATCTGCAAGTAAAGCAACAATACTGGCAAAAACATTGAAAGATATGTTCCAAGACATTGGTCTGACGTGGGGGATGGATAAGTGCGCGGGGGTTGACCTTGTCAGGGGGAAACTCCAGCACACCCAGGACACCAACCTTTCATCAAATGAAAAGCTTAAAATGCTGGATGAAACTGACACCTATAAATTCCTTGGGAAATTCGAGAACTCCAAGCAACTTGAAGATCAGGTTTTCGAGGAAACAAGCAGAGAATACCTGAAAAGGTTATCCGTTATCTGGACCAGCAATATATCTATACCTAGGAAAATCAGAGGCACCAACACTTTTGCTTTACCAGTCCTCCAATATCAAATGTGGACAGGAGATTGGACCATCGATGGTTTGAAAACTCTTGACAGACGAACCAGAGAAATAATCAAAGACAACGGTGGAATGCACAAGAGCGAATCTACAAAACTGCTGTACCTTCCAAGCAGCCTAGGAGGAAGCGGTCTTAAAAGTGTAGAAGACACATACAAGGTGACAACTATCAAGGCAGCAAATTATATCAACAACTCGACAGACACAAGAATCAAACTTGTAAGATCATTTGAAAAACTCAAGGCCGAAGAGGGACGAAAGTCAGTATTTAAACAAGCCACAAAGTATGCCCTAGAATACAATATCGAATGCACCTTTACTGAAACAGGAACACTGTTAACAACAGAAAGTAAAACTACACAAGTCAACTTGGCAAGCCCACGAGCTATCAAAGATACATTAAGTAAAGCTGTGATCAAAAAGATCTCTGAAGAACTACACCAACAGAAATGGCTCGGAGATCTAACCACCAAACAACATCAAGACCTGAATATATCGGATAACACCTACCAGATCCACACAACATGGAAGAATGTACCAGACATAGTATGTAGCGTCAACAAGACCATCAGACAGCAACTACTACCAACAAAGACCTACTACGAAACCAAGCTACTAAAACAAGTCCTCGACAAGAGATGCCGCATGTGTAATACTTCAACCGAATCAACGACACACGTAATGTGTGCTTGCTCCAGAATAGCACAAACTCTATATAAAGCCAGACACGATAAACTGCTTCGACCTTTGTACCACTACTTACTTTACAAATACCGGTTCCAAGAAAGTGATCACTCAAAACCATGGTACCAGCAAAGATTACCAGAAGGTAAAATCGAAAACGACCACGCAAAAATCTTATGGGACGTACCCTTCTACCTCGAAAGAGCCCCTAAAGATGGCGCTAATAAACCCGACATCGCAGTCCTGGATAAAGACAACAACACCTGGATACTCATCGAAGGAACAGTGTGCAGCGTGGGGACCATAGGAGACCGTTCAAAAACAAAAGAAGAGAAATACTCTGATTTACGAATGGGATTAAGATCGTTRTATAAAGAATGTACTGTCACTCAGATAAACATTGTCTTTGACTTCCTTGGAGGGTACTATCCCCAGCTAGAACAAGGGATAAACATCCTAACAGACGATAGAAAAGAAACAACTTTCATCATAACAAAATGCCAAAAATGGCTCCTATCGCAAAATGCTGAAATAGTTAAGAAATTCTATGAGTTTATTTAAGTATACATGTACGTTCGTGACTAGGAACACTTGGACTGCAGCAATTGCTTAGGTTATGCCCGCAATGTTGTATGTAAACAAAAAAAGAAAAGTTTTCAATAAAGATGCCATAATAATAACAATTTATTCAATTTATATAGCGTTATATAGTAAAATTCTATAACGCTTCACAGTACAAAACTCATGATGAAAAATAAATATTAAAGATAAAAAATATGTATATAAATATAAGACACAGTACAAAAAAAAAAAGAAAACTCGAGAAAAAAAAATACAATTATGAGAAATAAAATATGTATATAGATATAAGACAAGCTAAACTATGGTCCATAAGCTTGCTTATTAGAAACTGATGAAACTTTAAAGATCTTCAGATAAATAATAAAGGAACAACAACAGGACATTTTGCCAGTACTGACCTTAAGGATACAACAGCAATGTTTTCATATACAATTGAAATTTATATGCAATTGAAAAAGGGTAGGTCACCTAAAAGGGAGGGGCAAAGGGAGGGGCAAAGGGAGGGCTGTAGCCGCTCCTTTGGGCACGTAAAAGGTTAACTGTTTCTATTATTTTCAATATTGTTTATAACAAATAAAGCCCATTTATCCCCCCCTTAAGACTATTTAGTCCCCCACTTAAAAATTYAGCTGGTTCCGGCCTTAACCTAGGCCCTAGATCTGTCTACATGGAGATCTTACAAGGTATGGATAGGTTTACACTATCTACTAGGCTGAGGACCAGCTTTTTGACATGTGAACTTAGTAGGGTGACCATAGGAGGAGGGCTATTTCAAATCAACACAGGAGATAATATCATTTGAAAAAACGTTATAAAAGACATAAAAAACAAATAGAGTAAATTTAAATATTAACAGCACATGAGTTAAGTGATAAGATGTATTTTATCAAAAGAGTTGAATGTTGAATTGGCATAAATTGACTATTTTTTCGATGTAATTGACCGTTGCCTTGGCTGTGAACGGGTGTTTGATGTGTTTTTGAGTTATCAATTTAAGGGACTGCGCAACAATTATCAGGAGGGGGATTTGAGAAATGAGTAAAGAGAGCAGAAAAGTTAGAAAACATCTAAAAGMAGCGTTCATTTGAAAGAAATTTCATTTTCCGCAACCGTAAATGTATCTATTATTCAAYTGGACAGGAGTTAAAATATCCGCCAACGTATCGCGCATTCTAGCAGAGTACAAAAAGTTWGGAAGAGAAGTCTAGCTCAACTAGACGCTCCTGGAGCGTGAAGYCGGACTAGCTATTTTTGAAAATTGATARAGACACGAGTGAAAAGATTATGATGYTATATTCTGTCTAATCATATGATTATATTATGAATGTAAATTATCGTGTAGAATATATGTTTTTTACTTCTAATACATAGTGAAAGCAAGAGTGCGATTACTTTCACTTTAATGTACTGTTCAAAACCGTTTATTCACACGATACGATATTCTTTTTGACTGCTCTCTGCAACGGCTTCAAATTAAAAACGATAGAAATCTAAATTTGACCTAAAAGTTCATGTAATTAATACCCTGCGAACAACTTACAACTGAACTGATAAAATCAAACGTCAGACTAAATGTCGACCTCTTAGGCCAAAAAAAAAATTAATTTAAATCTTTTATTTTTAAAAAAATATGCCTATAAAATAATCTAAGTCGCCTTTTTGTTATTTATAAACAAAGTTTCTTCTTGTTCTAATTTGAAATATTTGCACAAACAAGACTGTCTAGCGCTAGAATTCAGTTTCGTAAGCATACTACTCGAATTTCTGATGTCTAGACCGATGCATTCCGATGATACCACAGATACCACATTTGTAAACGAATAGTTTTTATCACATAAAAGCGCAAGTAGAATCTATCATTTACTAACGATATTCGTACATCTATACGTTTGAGATTCCGGTCTGTAATAACACAGGCAACCCAAAACGCGACAAAATACATAGATAGACTAAAAGGTAAAACTTAAGTCGACCTAGCCTTCGGCTAGTCCGACTAAAAATATCACTGGTTTAGTCTTTGCAATAATAGATTTATCTTCCATTCCTAGCTATTACTTAATCGCTGTGTCTATATGGTCGGTTACCGGTTAGCCTGCGTGGCGGCTCTAGGGGAGGGGGGAGGGAGAAAACGGAAGGGGAGGGGKTGGGGAGGCGGAAAGGAAAAAAAAGAGTTTTCGGAGTTCTCGAAATAGCCTGGATATCGTTATTTTGACAGCGAATTGAAAACGTCAATCACAGCGCTGATTTAAACCAATCAGGAAGCGCGGCCTCTGGAGGCCGCGCTTACACGATTTATCGGCTAGTTCTGGCAGGCTCTCTTTTTTTTCCGCTCCGCCTCCCCACCCCCTCCCCTTCCGTTTTCCCCCTCCCCCTTCCCCTAGAGCCGCCACGCAGGCTAGTTACCGGTCAAGGTCTTGAAAATGCTAAATGGCCGGCAGCCCATAAAATGTGTTTTTCCCTCTCTTATTATCTAAACGAGCTTCCAAACTCCAAAATAAAACTCTATGAGTAAGATGAGCGTGTTAAGACTTCCATAAACGTCGCGTCGAAATTCGTTGCACTTATAAAGACATTGTGCGAACTTGAACCGACTGCCGGCCACGCAACAACGAAATCCTAAATGGCCGGCAGCCCATAAAATAACAGATTCCTCTTTTATTATTCTTATTTAAAGAGTTAAAACAACATAATCAACATTTCTGAAACTTTCATGGTACTGTAGAGACATTTTTCTATTCGAGAAAAATTTTCAACCAACACGGGCGGACTCCCGGTCACGCAACGTCGAAATCCTAAATGGCCGGCAGCTCATAAATAACAGATTTTTCTTTCCATGCATCTTTTATTATTCAAATTTAAGAGTTAAAGGATTATTGCCAGTTCCAACTGTAAGTACATTACTCTATCCGAGAAAAATATGCATTCTTTACTAGGATTACAGTTCATGTTCAGAGAGTTATGCTGTGTGGCAGACAGCTCACATGATAATGTTGTGTTAAAATGATATATGATGATAATGTTGTATGTGTAGTATGATGATAATGTAGTATGATGATAATGTAGTATGATGATAATGTAGTATGATGATAAATGTAGTATGATGATAATTTAGTATGATGTCGATGATAATGTTGTATGATGATAATGTTATATGATGATAATGTTGCATGATGATAATGTTGTATGATGAAAATGTTGTTGATGAAAATGTTGTATAACATTATCATACAACATTATCATACAATATTTTCAYCATACAACATTATTATCATACATTACATTATCATCATACAACATTATTATCATACATTACATTATCATCATACAATATTATCATACAATATTATCATCATACATTACATTATCATCATACAATATTATCATACAATATTATCATCATACAACATTATTATCATACAACATTATTATCATACAACATTATCATCAATGCTATAGTTCTCTACTAAAGTCTTCTTTATTTCATCAGGATAATGATTCCACTGCATATGTGCTGTCTCACCCAGCATAACCCTCTGAAAATGAACTGTAATCCTAGTAAAGAATGCAGATGTTTCTCGGATAGAGTAATGTACTGACACTGGMAATAATCMTTTAASTCTTAAATTTGAATAATAAAAGATGCATGAAAAGAGAAATCTGTTACTTTATGAGCTGCCGGCCATTTAGGATTTTGATGTTGCGTGACCGGCAGTCCGCCCGTGTTGGTTGAGATTTTTCTCGAATAGAAAAATGTCTCTACAGTACCATGAAAGTTTCAGAAATGTTGATTATGTTGTTTTAACTCTTTAAATAAGAATATTAAAAGAGGAATTCTTATTACTGCATTTATCAACGACACGAAGTCGAGGCAATTTGCAGCTGCTTCGCTATGACGTCATTCAAGATGGCTTCCGGCCGGCGGCGCAGGCAGCAGCCACGGAGTTTCAACTGTTTACCTTCTAGTTCGCGACAATGGTCTGACCTCTCTTTTCGACTTCGATCCATAAATGATATTTGATGTGAACCTGTTTATTGAGTACATTTTGGAAGTGATCGAGGCAAAAGCCTCTGTTGGTTGCAATCATGTTGATCAAGGAGTACAGGATTCCTTTGCCGATGAGCGTCGAGGAATATCGCATCGCTCAGCTTTACATGATTCAGGTACTAGACATTGCCCTTGTTTTTATGCTACTCAGCGTGCTATTTGCCATCAAAAAATCATTATTGCCTACAATATATGTATTGCGACTTTACTTAAGAAGGAATCAAAAAACTGGGGTTTGTTTATTTGACTTGGAGAGTGGGTTTACGAAAAGGCGAACTGTATTTTAGCCTATAAACGGTGTATTAGTCCATCCTCCATTTGAACATGAATTGTTGGCTTGATTTGAAATCGTGCAAGTAAGGTATAGATTAAAATTTGGATATTTGTTGTGATGCTGAATGGTTCATATTGCAAGGTTTAGGACACAGGGCCGTAGATTGAAGATAAAACTTAACTTATATAGTCGATTATAAGCTTATATCTGTGTTGGCAACTTGTTCACCCCTAAATCTACATTATTTCAATAGATAGGTATCCCCCATTTTTTCTTCGAAATAATTGTACGTTTCATGGAATTTCTCATATACGAATACGGTTATTATGCTGTCTATAGATTTAATTTTTCGATGTGACATTTCTTAAGGCGACAGCAATAGACTAGTAAGGATATCTCGACAGCGATCTGACGTACTTGACAACTCAAAATACAGTTGTGCGAATAATAAAATATAATCCGAGCCCTCATTTGGTCTCCCGCTTGTCCAGAAAGAAAATATTCTCTCAGTTCTGTCCAACTACCACCTCTTTAAATCGAAATATTCCATTTTTTGGCATAATCTTGCTAAATAGAGTCTTATTCCCTTAGAATTTCTATGCCAATGAATATAATTAAATGGCATGGAGCATTTGCTGATCATGAATTCCCTTTAAATATTCGCGGAATATATATGAAAGAGCTGAGTACAAATTTCATTGTACATATCACTGTGTTTATGGTGTTTTTATGATTGTCATGATTATTATCCGTTGGTTTTTGTCAGTAATAGATCGCCATTCGACGACTGACGATGTGTATAGTTATTGATTTTATTCCATATAAAAACATATCTGCCGGATCGATTCCATACCGATTTGTTGCACCTCACTTTTTTCCTGTTCTTTTGTTCGATTACCTTTTCTTATGTAGTCAACTGCAATGGTTAGTGTCTAGAACAATTTATATCTAATAATACAAAGTTCGCTCTGGACTGGCAGCTGGTTCGAAGTTCTATGGTCAATCTCGATTTTTGACCGGTTTTTTAAACCCTAGTATAAAATTTTAGAGCAATTATTTTGAGAGTTATCATAAACTATAGAGCACGGTGGTTTATTTGTAATTGCTAGTAGCTTCTGAAATAGATTGTGCTTTTGCACAATTTATGCTGGGAGTGACGACTTATATTATCCGTAAAATTGACACTTAATTTTTATGTAGAATTTCAATATGTTGTTTTTAATATGTCTTTTACGTTAAAGACGTTTGAATGAATTTTAAACATTTCCACGTTCAAATGTTGTTCTTCTTGTAATTATTATTATTATTCATGCAGACCTACCATTTTGATGTWATCAAGAATTTAAAAGTCAATTTGCATTGCATACCTGGGATAAAAATAAAGATGTTTTGAATTTCATGTTCAGTGCATATTGCACACCTGGGATACTATACTGGTTTTGAGGCTAACACATTTCTTAACCAATGTGCATATTGCATATTTAGGTATATTAAGGTGTGCATTTTTAGGTACAGTAAATTTATTAAACATAAATGTGTTTTATAACTCAAGAAATGATGCAATATAACCGTAAAGACATACTATACTGTCTTGAATTATAGCWCAATCAAAAAGCCTGTATATTCATGCTTTAAAGTAGCAGAGCCTAGAATTGAAGACAAAACGTAAATTATGTATATCTAACCTAACATTATATAAACAAATTGACTAATTGCCAAGTATAACTAAATCCCTGAGTCAACATACCCCTAAATAGAGCTATATTCCAAACTTTTTATTTACAATCATTAGACTTGCTTTCACTAAAATGTTTTTGCTTCTTGAAAAATTATATCTGAGTAATCAAAACTATGAACAACGTATGCATTGTAGCTTAATTATCCAACATGATTTATCATGTTAAAATCAGCTTGTCATATCTTAAACCTCTCTTTGTTACATAGCAACACATTAATTGTTTATTTACAGATTGCTTCATATTTTTGTAATTATTTTCAAAGCAACACTGAATGACAAAGTTATTGATCTCATACCTGCTCCTTTGTTTGTTTACTTTTACATTTGTGATCATTATTATGTTGAAGCCTTTGTTATTTTATTGGTCATTTTATTGTCTTTTATTCATGATGTGCATTAAAATTTGATATGATACTATAGCTGACCCTTTCATGTTCAATATTGTTCATTATTTATGAAAGCATGTCAGTTTTTGAATAAATTGAAACATGAATCTATACTTGAATAAACTGTGTAAATCTAATTGAAAGAACATAGTCAACAAAGACAAAACATAAACATTAAAAAAGCATTCCAACTTATCATTTTATAAAATATTGAATGAATTTTGTAATGAAAGTAAATGCATTTAACAATTTTTTACAAACTGTTGCATAATGTCATTATCAATTTGAGAAGGGTCTGTTCTTGTTCTTCTTGTACAGCACTGATGTGCACATAGAACAAGATGGAGAACTTTCAAGACTAAAACTTTAACTGAAAAGAAATTTTTGAAGGATGGGTACTAAGATTCAAACCAGCAAAATGCTTTGCCGAACCCAATATTTTCCTTAARCCTAACCATTAAGCCATGAGACCAATTGGCTTGAGTGAACCTGARTTGTTGTGATATTTATGCAACGTTATGCATGAATAACCATGTATATGTACAAAAGATATATAATTAATGAACTTTCAAAATAGAATGAAACTGAACAAAACACCAACTTGAAGCTTTAATATCTCTGTTTTAATGGACGTTTCGGCACTTCGGCCTTTTTCAGCAAACAGAGTGTTTTGCACGCGCCACTCTCTATAAATCCTAAAWAAAGCACRTGCTATAAAAAAGCAYGCKCCAAACTAATATAAAGAGGTAACAAAGTCAAAACACTCAACTCACTAAACTAGAAATTACATTGCACAAACCCAAGCCATAATTATATGGAAGTCCTACCACAACCTCTACTCATCAATTTGCTACTTTATTATTTTTGGCAACATAACCACCATGGATGCTTTGCACATCTCATCATAATTTCATTTCACAATTTTTTCGAAGGTTATTTAACAATTAGGTCTCGAGGGCGAGTGGACTACAAGCTGATAGCCCTTAGGGCCGAGAGATCTAATTGTTTTAGTATTACTATACTAGTTGGACAAAAAATGAAGAAAAAAATGGGATGCTGAAGGTCCCTCAAGGTCACCTCAACGCCCCGGTTGGCCATACATAGTTAGATATACTGAGATTCATCCATCGTTCTTTTATTGAATCACGTAAACTATAATAAATCGTATAACAAAGCTAATTACTAAAACTGGCTAGAATATCATATATAAAACGCTTACAAATCATGACTTAAATCTATTACATAATCACTATAGACTCACGTGTGTTNCAATTTGCTACTTTATTATTTTTGGCAACATAACCACCATGGATGCTTTGCACATCTCATCATAATTTCATTTCACAATTTTTTCGAAGGGTTATTTAACAATTAGGTCTCGAGGGCGAGTGGACTACAAGCTGATAGCCCTTAGGGCCGAGAGATCTAATTGTTTTAGTATTACTATACTAGTTGGACAAAAAATGTAGGACATATATGAATAACTAAATGTTTTTATTGCTATTGAAAACAGACCCCAAGCAGTGTAGCCAATCAGAATGTAGCATTTGCAATAGTCCACTAGTATGGTGATACTATTTCAAGCTAGTAAGAGGTTGATTGAAATAGCCTTTACAAACGTGCTTGGGTTAGAAAGAAATAAACATCAGGCAACTCAAGTTTCAAAGTTGTATGGCTATAGACCAACCAATCAAAGACAAGACTATAAATAGTGTTCTAAATGACTGTATATGTAAAGACTTGAATAATGTTACAGTTAAAACAAATGAAAGGATTCCAGTATTACTGTATGAAATGATTTTAGATCTCCATTTATCAAACTGCTAAGTGGACTGTTGTTGAATTCTTTGCATGTAGACCTAAATCRTCATCATCATCATTTGTAGCTTTCACTGTAACTTTCCTTTTGCTTCCTCCTTTTGTTTCTTTCTTTTCCCACTGTCCTTTTCCAGGTTGTTTTCAAACTACCTATTCATCTGTCCAAGTTTATGCTGTTACCTCATTGCTGCTCTGATCTTTCCTGAGTATATGCAAAATCATTTTTCATCTCTGCTTCTTCACCTCTTTACTCACTGGTTACATCTTTGCTTTTTCAAGTAGTTCATTTGTACTCATACTGATCTTGTAATTTCACTCCCAACAGTCTTCTTAAACATTTTCTTGCTTCATTTTCACATCCATATTATGATAATGGAATAATAAGAAACTTATGAAGCCTTAACTTTGTTCTTCTTATAATCATTTCAACAACTCAAATTTTCTTCAGCTTAAACAACTATTCAGTATAGCTAGATGCCTTGCTTCTCCTTTGCTGTTAAAAATCTCTTTAAGTGCACGTAATCTCTTATTTCAATTCATAACAAGTATAGCTTTTTATCCAACAGAAAAAGAGTCGTCTAGAAAGCACTGGTGAGGGAAGTGGTGTTGAAATACTTGAAAATCATCCTTATAGAAGCAAAGATGGTGAATGTGGACAGTACACCAAAAAAATATACCATATTGGGAACCACCTGCCTAGCTGGTTGAAGGCAATTCTTCCAAAGTCAGCTTTGAGAGTTGAGGAAGAAGCTTGGAATGCTTATCCATATACAAAGATGAGAACAACATGCCCCTTTGTAGAGAAGTTTTATGTTGATGTAGAAACATATTATCTTCCTGATGCTGGACAATCGGTATGTAAATCAATGATTATTTTTGTGGAAATTTTCTTATCATTTTTTTAACTTTTGTTCAATATTTTAGCTATTATATAAACAAAATGTGCTCACTGTTTCAGGAGAATGTTTTTAATCTTAGTCCTACTGAACTAAGCAACAGAGAAGTTGGTAAGAAGAATAACAATGTTCTTGGCAAAAATAAACATTTCCAAAACATTTTCCAGAGACTTACCAGGCAATGGACTGACAGACTAACTAACCCGTGTCAGGGGAGGGCCAGTGGGGGAATGAATTGGGTTAATATATGCCCTTTTTCAACCATTGCATGTCTTTGTCAAATTGGACATTCATCAAGAAAGATTGAACCATTATATCTCCATAATGGCTGGACTGCAATAATAGTTAGAAAAAGAACCTCCTTCCCTACTGGATSTCCCCAGCACTTCCAAGAAACTGACTGACAGATTAACTAGGCAAYTATCTAAGTGATTGACTAGTTATATGAATATGACAACATCTGTTACTTTATTGTCTGCATTATCAATTAAATAAAAAATAGTACTTTTTTGACAAAACATTTTTTCCCTAAAGACCTAATAGATCCTATAATTGAGGAGGTTTTAACATCTGATTATTGCGAAGAAGAAGATCCTTTAATGTACAAATCTGAAAAGACGGGAAGAGGACCAATGCCTGCGAACTGGTTGGAGCAATATCAGACAGATAAGCCTCCATCTAGTGTCATGTGTGCCTATAAACTCATCAAAGTTGAGTTCAGATATTGGGGCATGCAGGTAAATATATACTTTTAGAAGGTAATGAAAAAGAGGTATCCCTGCTTTCCGCTGTTTTTACTCCTCACGGAGCGGCTGCACACGAGGCTTAGTAATGGTTGCACGTGGTTCAAAAGTATTAACGAAAAAAATGCGGGTTTTAACATTAATATTGAGATTAATTAGTTAAACCAATTTATAGATTTAAAGCCGCGGCTACACGAGCGATTTTTCCGCTTGCGCAAGCGACGCCATTTTTTCAAAATCTCCAGCGCGCGATGAAATCGCTCGTCGCTCGTGTAATGAATATCAAACCACGCCCTGTGAACCGGAGTTCTATTCTTCCGAACTTCTTGATTCCACGATAARGGTGGCATTAATGTAATGTCTAATGACCTGCATTTTCGCGTAATTCAATAATATATGCATATGTTTGTTTKKTTTTTTTTTTCAGAACAAAATTGAACATTTTATTCATAGTGGCCTTCGGCGTCCAATGCTAATGGGACATAGACAAGCCTGGGTTTGGCAGGATGAGTGGTTTGGTCTTACAATAGAAGACATACGACAACTTGAAGAAGAAACAAGAGCTATTCTTAATCAAACTATGGGAAAGCAATTTGATTCACTGCAGCTTGGAAACCTGTCAGATCGAGAGAGTGACCAGGAAGGTGGTTTTGCTAGCACTGAGAGCAGGGGAAGTGTAGTACATGTCCCATCACTTATCGCAAAGCGTGAATCTATTCATGAAATAAATGGATCAAAACTGGAGCTTATATCAAAATTTTCCATGGAGGATTCAGAGGAAAGCTCACCAATTCCTCCCATTGAGATAAAAATAGAAAGACATGACTTCGAACGCGAGGGAATGCCATTTGTGTCACAAGAACGTGACCAGGAGTACCCAACTAACATGAGAGACTCATTCCCTCGTTCTATAAGGTCGTTTAGGGACAGCAAACGAGGAAGTGTTACTAGTTATGAAAGTGCTTCAGCATCATTGCCGCCATGCCTGTCRCGAAGAATGTCATGTACTGATGTGATGAAGGGATGGCAAATGACTAGCATTGAGACTTCAGATTCCACTTCAGAAGATGAATTTTTTGATGCCCAAGGTAAATACCCCTGTTATTACTGATAACTGTTAAACAACCTAAGCCTTTTTTAATCTCTTGTATTCGGGATCTGAAACCTGGTGAACACTCGATTGTCATCAGTTTGTATATTGAGCTATAGGTATTTAGATATCTTCTTCTCAAAAAGAACACCCTTTTTTGGTTAGAGAATATTTTGCTTAGTAGAGCGGATTTCGTATGACAGTGCAACGGCTCGGATCACCAACACGGCACGGCACGGTCACGGAATCTCGCCGTCTAGGATTCCAAATAAAAATAAAAATTAACAATACATCACCGCTACGGCACGGTACGGTCACAGCGCGAAAGTACCGTGCTTTTTGCACAGCCATACGAAATCCACTCTACTACGCTTGAACGACAAGCGACATTTTTTGCTTTTTGTGAGTACCCTGTGACTGTATCCTGAAAATCATGATAAATTATGATAGAGTTCTGAGTGGAATGAAGTTTTTTCTCAATCATTTACTATGGGTGTTCGAAGTGTTTTAATTGTATAACAAGTCTAATGTTAGATGATGTGTTATTGGTTGTCTTGATATGGTTGTTTTCTACTACAGAGGAACTTGATAGTCCTTCAGAAGGCGAACCAATTGGAACCAATCTCCTCAGCATCCAAAACGTCGAGCTCAGTAATAGTTTTAAAAGCTTGGAACTTGACTCGGATTCGTCCCGTGGGTCTCGGGAATCTCTTGACTCTGTCGGGTCGTCGATCATCGATCAATCTCGGGTTAGTGTGGATGTGTGATTTATGTGTCTACTATTTTTTTTGTTTTTGTTTGTTTTTTTCAACTAATATTTTCTGTTCACAGGGGCCCCCTTACGTTCATAAAGAAAAATTGTGCAAGAAAGTTAGTGATACTTCAATATATTCAATTTCCTCGTGTAAAATAACCACACTTCTGTTAGTGGTTCATGGTGGCAGCCAACTAGATTGTGACCAGGATAGTTTATCTAAAGAAATGGACTGTGAGTTACTGAGAGAAAGTTTTGAAACGGTCATAAAAACGCACTATAGGGGTGCCGTGGGGAGAATAGCAATACGTTTGGTAGAGTGTCCTGCTGTCTGCTCCAAGGCTCTGGGTATACTGTCTCATCTATGTCCGTATGTTGAAAATGACTCGGGTATGTTTATTCTAATCACTGCACCGTCAAGAGAAACATTCTGTTCTATATCGAAATATATTTCATTGATAAATAGTGTCGTCTCCAAGAGACAACTTGCAACTTGCTTCCTTTGTAAGATCGTTACCTACTGTGATTTGTCACTTCTTCACCGTGCAAATTTTTTTTGATGGCTTTTATTCGGAGTCGTCATTTTGGCTCCTACCGTCGGACAGTGAACGACAAAAAAATCTAACCGAGAGCGAACTGGGACCGACTTATGGAATTAGTCTATACCATCCATGGGTTTGAATTTATTTCATTGAAACAGTAGGTAAAAGCATTTAAAGCGGACAAGTGCTGAGCTTGTAATACCTGCGGTTGCCGCAACAAAAAATCTAACTTGTGACCGTGCACCTTGCTTGCAATGTTTGAAAGTTGTTGTTTCGAGTTGTCCCGCGTATAACATCATCTTTATTTACTTTTGCTAACTAAATGCGTTTATTCTTAGATACAATGTCGTGTTATTCTGGGATTTGTCCCATCTCCAGTAGCTTCCCCATAAGTGCTATCCCTTTAATGGTGACATCCTCCCCAAATTACGACGAAATGGTGGCAACGATGATCGGCAATACTAACCGCGTATATCACGATTTTCTTCGTTCAGAAGAAGGACAGGGTTTCTCTGGAGAGGTATGAACAGTTACGATTTCATAAAGATAAATAAATTCACACCTAAATAATGTTATTTATGTTTTTATCTCGGTTATTTTTCTTTTAAACCTGGATGCAAGGCACAACTTACAGTTAGCGTGATATGTGGTTTCAGTGCTAGAAGCAGCGGCTATGGGAAGGAATGCCCAACGGAAGGAATGTATTAGGTTTATTTCGCCTTTTTTGTGTACATGGATAATAATAGTAGATTTCCTCATKWTGAAAACTCAAACAAGCTCAGAATTGCAAGGTTCTTGTTGTTGTTATTCGTAGACTTGCATCATTGGTGATTGTATGGGTGCATTGTTAGTGTACGATGCTCTTATATCATTCCGAGGAAGAACAACAAGTGTTACCTCATCGAACAGTTATCATATCTCATATCCACCAAACTCATCAAACTCGTCTTTAAATGGTGACTCGGATGTCACAGGCTCCCCCCGACTGGAAAAGCCGCGGAGGATCAGTGCTCATATACCTCCAAACAAGAACACTTTAGCTACATCTAAAAGTCTGCGCATGTGTGTTAGTAGTGGAAACATCCGTGAGAACCTGACAAAAAGCACTGTGGAAGGTGAGAGTGGGCAGGGCTCTCCGGAATCTCAGACTATAGACACAGAACCTTCAAGTAAGTAGATCGGCGAATAAGAACAAGAATAATAATAATTTGAGAAGCGGCTTGTTAATCCGTTATTTGACGAAAAAAAAAGCGAAAATAATATGGAAATGCCAATGATGGACCCGATATTATGATATATATAATACAACTATCAGTGTTTGTATTTTTTAGTTTTATTTCTTCTATTTCGTAAAGTATCATATTGACGGTTATTCACAGATACACAAATATTGTCGTCAGTAATGTCATTTACCCTTATTGGACGGCTCTTTATAGGTTTGAAACAAGGCATGGAAAATAAGAACAGCTGTGATGGCTTAAACTTGTCACTTGATTCTATTGATCAAGTTGCATTCGACTTTGAAGTGTCCAAGTTTTTTGCATTTGGTTCCCCCATTGGACTTGTTGTTGGTTCCCGGAAATTCGTTCGAGGCGAGGATTATAAAGGTAAATTTTGTTGATCATTATGGTCTAAGTTTTACCTTTTAGCCAATCTATCTATCTATCTATGTATTATGTCGCGTTTGGACCACCGGAAGTTTAAATAATTAACTATTGGTTGGCTGTGTTATTATATGACCGGAAGCTCAAACGTAAAGTGATAAAAAACTATTCGTTTAGAAATGTGGTATCTGTGATCTCATCGGAATGCATCAGTCTAGCCATCAGAAGTACGCGCATGTGCGGATCGCATGGAGCTTCGAGTAGTATGCTTACGGAACTGAATTCTAGCGTTAGACAGTCTTGTTTGGGCAAAGATTTCAAWTTAGAACAAGAAAAACTTTGTTTATCAATAACAAAAAGGCGACTTTGATTATTTTATAGGCATCTTTTCAAAAGTATTTATTTTCTTGGCCTGAGAGGTCAACAATTTGAATTAAAAACGTATTAGATATGATATCACTTAGAGGCATCTTGTCTACCGGGTATTAATTACATGACCTTTTAGGTCAAAATTTAGATTTCTATCGTTTTGAAGTCGTTGCAGAGAGCAGTCGAAAAGAATATCGTATCGTGTGAATAAACGGTCACGCATTCTTTCTTTCACTATGTATCAGAAGTAAAAAATATAATATTCTACGCCATGATATACATTCAAAAATAGCTAGTCCGACTTCACGATCCAAGGGCGTCTAGTTATCATCAGTTATATCGTCATTATTATTAATTCATCATAATCAATCATTTTATATCGTTCTCAGTGTGTCTTATCTATCCATCGATAATCATACTAAAATATTAGTATCATATCTACCTTTCTCCGATTCCTACAGAACTACCTCCAAGGCCTACATGCGCACAGTTTTATAATCTTTTCCATCCATTTGACCCATCGGCTTCACGAATCGAGCCTCTCATCATTCCAGGATTTGTCCAAACACCATCAGTGAACGTTCCACGATATCATCATTTTCCTTTGGGTGATGGAAAATCTCATTTTCTCAGGGACACTTGGTCTATGAACCCTGAACTGTTTAGTAACCAAACATCGTCTCCTCGACTTAGTCCTCGGGGATTGTCTCGACCGGGCATTGTAAGACACGATAGTAATATGAGTACTTCTAGTGTGTCGTCATTGGATAGTTTATGCGATAGCAAATTCCCAGAGGTGGAACCAGGTATGTAGGAGTATTGAATGCTATATAATATATACTCCATTGTATATGTGAGGACTATTTTTTTCCTGTGTTTACGTTATTTGTGTATTAGTTGTGTTGACTGTGTAGATCCTCTTGTTTGTAATTGAAAAGTTGTATTTCGGTCCGGAACTGATGATGATCAAAAGAGTTTTGTTGACGTTTTTGTCATTGTAGGTTACTATTGGTGGGGTCAAAAGCGATTAGATTATGCGCTGTACTGTCCAGAAGGCTTACAACAATTTCCGACCGCTGTCCTTTCACCGCTTTTCCACGTTAGTTACTGGGAATCYWSTGATGTGGCGGCGTTTGTCGTTAGGCAGGTACGAGGATTAAATGCTCACGAAACTGAGTATCACCTCACGCAAAATTTCGGGTGCTGTGGATGCAAATAATGAGGTTTTTTGGATACTAGAATTCGTTAGATGTCTTATTTCGTGTTTGACTCAACCAGGTTCTTCATGGAGATTGGAATATCTCAAGTGTATCTTCACCAAGCAAAAGAGGAATGACTTTCTCGCCCTCGCAACCAAGGGAAAAATGGCTGCGGCGAAGAACAGCCATTAAAATCAAGGTCAGAAATTATTATTGTTATCCGGAGAATCCCGTTATTTTTTCAAACTTGTATATCATATTATTATTAGTTAGAAACAGTAACTTATTTTCATGATCAGTGGAGCTCAGTCATCTAGTGTGATTGACCGTGATTATGAACTAGAAGAGACAACTCACATACAACTGGGAACGAGGTTGGACGTATCATGAACTTGGGCTTCTCTGTGCAGGGGCGGATCCAGGATTTTTCAGAGTGGGGTGGCTAACATTAAAAATTAATATTAAAGTACGTTACAATTAATTTGACTCTTCAGGCTCATGTGAAATTATCGTTTATCGTTATCTYGGGCACACCTATAATATTTCGGACTCAATCAATAAACTTTTACATGGAAGATATTTACGAATATATAAACAACAGTTACATCAAACAGTTCTTCTCACTCTATATTTTTTTCAAGTTATTATACATATTTCCGTTATACAATAATCCTGTTATTTAATTTCTTTTTTTTAAAAACTTAAAGCCTTTATATTTTTTGAAAATAAAAGAGGTGGTGGCTAGCCACCCAATCCGCCCCTGCTGTGTGTAAATTTTTCCTTGGGAAACTTTTATATTACCCTTGCTACACTCTAGCGATACATCCATGATCGAAGTTTTCTAGGTCTTTTAATATTTCAGTATGTCTCTTATTTTAGAACCTGAACTCGAATCATCGTGCTAATGACAGTGTAGTTATGGAGGGAAATGCACAGGTTCTAACGGCTAGGTTCATGTATGGACCACTAGATATGGTATCGCTGACTGGTGAAAAGGTAAAGTATAAAACAATGGATGTACCTCCTTCTGAGAAACAGGTCCAAAGACTTTTATTCCCTCTCCAAGATATTGTATGTTAGCCTGCATACCCAGGAGATGAAAGAATGTCTGCTTGTATGCTTTGTCTTTTCTGTAGATTGATATTTACGTAATGTCGCAGCCCCCCTCAGGTGAATATGTATTACTAGACACGGTTATAACGGCCAGCGGTGGTCGGCTAGTGTACACAATACAAGATGACAAGAAACTTCCTGTCGGAATATATCCGTTAAAGATGGTAGTCAGGTATGGTGTGACCGATTAAACGAATAAAATCCTTCCATATATAAGATCCATCTTTAGTGTGACATATCGTAATGGTTTCAGAGGAGATCATACCTGGGTTGATAGTAATCTCGCTGTCCTGCCACCAAAGACAGAGTCAGTCGTATTCAGCATCGATGGGTCATTTACTGCTAGTGTGTCTATAAGAGGAAAGGATCCTAAAGTACGCGCAGGAGCTGTGGATGTCGTAAGGTAATATTATACACCCTTTTAATAAGTCCCAAGGTATTGTTTTCTCCGCATTTGACGTCAAATTTATTCTTTTGAAATTTTTACAATACAAAAGGAATACAAAAKAATAAATTTGACGTCAAGTGCGGAGAACGTAATACCTCGGRACTTATTAAAAGGGTGTATAGTTGCATAATCAAAGTTATAATGGTGGCAACTAGCGGGTAAACTAATGTGAACTGCGTCGGTGTTTCTAAAGAAACAGTTGTGTAAAAAACACATCATCTCTTTACTCCGACGAAGGATTAACGTCTGCAGTAAGTTGATTCACCTATTTTTTACGGTGTTAAATTTATCTTTTTACACAACTAATCAAAGTTACTAGAGTCTTATAATTTGTTATCATCTGATGTCAACCAATCAATATTCAGACACTGGCAAGAACTTGGGTTCTTGATTATTTACGTCACAAGTCGCCCAGATTTCCAAAAACATAAAGTCATGTCATGGTTAGCACAGCATAACTTCCCTTACGGTCTGGTCGCCTTTGGAGATGGAATCACAAAAGAAATACAGAAACATAAGACGGAATTTTTGCGAAAAGTTGTTAATGAGGTAACCTTATTGTTGAAATTGTATAGCATTAAAAAAAAGGCGGTACGATAATAATAATAATAACCGCAAACTTACTCAGCTTGTTGTTTCACCAGGCCAGTGTAATTGTCCATGCTGCATACGGATCCATAAAAGATATATCAGTGTACTCAAGTGTTGGTTTAAAACCTGACCAAATCTTTTGTGTTGCGAAACACTACAACAGAAAATACGAAAGACAGGCTCTGGTATGTAATCACGGGGCTCCGACCTGATGATTGTTATTGATAACCTTTACTACAAAACAATTCCCAGTGAAAGTCTAGCAATCTCACTACGGAATGTAATAACCGGCATGCGAAATAGGGAACAGTGGTTTCAGATTTACAACAATTTGCACCAAGCTCATCCCATTTTTTCCTACTTTTTTCTGTATTAGGAAGGTATATCTTAATCCTGTTCCTTTATGATTTGCTCTTTTTTGACGTATTTTAGTTCCTAAAAGATGGGTATGCCGTTCACCTTAACGAGATGTCAAGTAATCCAATCTCACGACCTTCGGCTGGAAATTCTCGTCTTATTCTTCGTCGAGGATGTTTTGGATTATCAACTCGGCCATCCAAAGCACGCCACAAACAACTCAAACGAACAAGTTCAGACAAGAGTAAAGCCACAAAGAACCTTGAGCCTTYACAATCTGAAAGCGGTCAAATGTTATCAGGGACATTCAATTATTCCTCGTTTCGACAGACCAAAGGTCTTTCCATCACTAAAATACAATGAATACTGTTTTATTTGAAGCAGAATAAATCGAAGAAACAATGCTTATGCCCTTTGAGGTAACTGGTAGAAGCATTGACTTGCTCTCCCGAGGCAATTTGTAAATTTATTAGGCCTATGCTCTTTTAGGTCGGTTGAAGAAGCAGTGTTTTGAGTTAATAGGTAGAAACCTTGCCTGTTCTCTCTGAGTAGAAGCAAGCATACATTATGTTTTTAAGAAGCAAGTATAGACGTACTTGGTAATTAATTGGTATAAAATATTTCTCTCCTCTTTGATATAACTTGCAGAAACAGTGTAAATGGTTATTGAGGTGAGAGCAATTCTCTTCTACTTTTATCTAAAGTAATTCGTTAAAGAATTGTCTGTGCCCTTTGAGGTAACAGTATAAAGTTGATAGTTCGTTCAGTCGTCGTCAGTATCAAGCTTGTTTTTTTAACTTATTAGGTGTGCCTTTTGACCGGGCAGCTTTTTTTGCAGGTCCGATGGCAGAGACTGACCCAATCAGGTTGATAAACTGCACGAGCATATCTCGTGACTAATACTAAGTCATTTGATTGATGCTATTTAGATGAACTTGTCACATAGCATCCATGCCTGTCTGCAAGGCAAGTAGTGTGCGAAAGAGCTCACGACAGAGAGCTCAAACCTATTTATATGATTTTAAATTGAAGCCGTTGCAACGTGTATAAACTTCATTTTGTTTTAAGACTACACGGTCACCAAGCTCTATAACGGATAGAGGATGAGTAAATTTTATTAGGAAAAATGCTCTTGATGCTGTTTAGAGAATGCGTTGACAGTTACCTTGACATTACCTTGTGGATACCTCGGGGTTAGAATAAGATGTTTTTTGTTTTCAGTTTACTGTAATATTTTTTCCTTATTGTAAATATCACAAAAGCTCTATCGGGTYCCACATATTTGTTGTCGTTTAAGTCGTTATAACGTGAAGTGGTAAMGAATTCACGTAAAAACGTAAAGATCAAGCATTCATTTTAGAAATGATTTAATTTTTTTTGGCTAAAAGGGCTTAACTAATATATATTGAGAAAATCTTGGCTCATCGCCCTCTTATGTGATTGACTTACAGTATCTACCGGGCGGGTACTGACTTATTTATTGGTGTTATCTCCACCATTTTAAAATCTATTATCCTTCTGTCCTTATGTACATAAGATTGTATCAGGTAGAAGTATGTTTGWTTAGTTCAGAACAATCTTCAAACCGGCTCGATTCAGTCGGGTCCTTTGAACACACAGGTTTTCCACAGGTAGCTCAATATTCGATATTTGTCTTCAATTACTGTACTTCGAATCGGATAGTAAGATCCCTTTAAACTGTCATGCCTTAGAATATTCTGCATTACCTTCTGGCGACCAAGGAATTACATTCTCACAGAGGTTTAATAAGTCACATAATTCTGTAGTAAATCAGCACAACTATCGAGCTTGGGCTATATGTGGAAGGAATCATAATATTGAAGTTAAGTGAAACATGCGTCACTTTCCTGCATTAATGTGGATGTTTGATGTCGTAAACTTCACGTGACAGGGACATATGACGTCATGGATTACATTGATAAGTAAGGTTTAAAATATGACATAATATAAGTACACATTCCTTTTATTTTATTAGCAGAAAGGTCAGTAGGCTCTTTGCTATAGTTTGCATACACTGAATGTATTCTTGTCGTGAAGTGAATACATTTTAACTCGCCAATAGTGTATTGTGTAACATAGATGATACAATACAACATCTCTTCCGCCACAAAAGCCGTTTAGATTRCGTAAGGCTTTAAATAAATGCCGCAAATGGTTCAAAACCGTTGCCTAACGTTGAATGATATTGATATTAACAATACGATGTAAAATATTGACAATGATCATATTAAACTATGTGAGTGTAATTCAGCTTAAAGACTCCATACAGCCTGAGGAGGAGGCTAGAACCAATTGAAAAATAAATTAACCGTCAGACCAAGCATCTAATGGCAATCTGTCAATCTAATTGCAATCTATCAATCAATGATTTTGAAACACCAGAATTAGAATCCCTGACGATTAGACTAACCCTACGACGTCTACCCAGATCTCTCTTCTGATTCTGTAGCTCGTGCAGGCGAGTGTACAGAGGTTTCATGAGGGAGGGAGTCGATCCACCTTGTTTTGTGGTTTTAAGACTGTGACGAACCCCTGGGACCACGCCCTGAATACTTCCCTACATAACTGTCTACCATCTCTGCCATCCCTCTGACTAAAAAGTTGTGGTAGACCCGAAAACCAGAATTAATAAACCGAAGTCTATAGATAATGACCATTTTTAAATAGCTATTACCAGCTTCCAATTTTCCCTAGTCAAATGAAAACATCTGGTCGACCTCTATTTTTCAGACCTTAAAATTAGCTGTGCCTTTGTYTAGCATGYAGCTTGTGTTTCTACGAAAATGAAGATCGTTTAGATCAAAGATGTGACTTTACATCTTACGATAATACTCTATTCCAYAGTAATCTTTTTATCGTCCCCGTGTCTGTTATTAGGCGTCGGTATATCTTTAAGAAGCTGCTGCGATCTCAGATGCACGACACGTGATTCAGTGCTGGTATTTCTGTGATATGTTTAGTTTGAGTTGGGGTTTATACAGCTATTTAAGAAAACTTTTAGTACACAAGATTTTCGTTGTATGAGCACTAAAAAGTACTGAGTTGAGAATTTTTACGTCACTTGCGTGGAACCCAGTAGCCTGAGCTCCATAGACCACAGGATTCTATTTGGACTCACACGTGAAAATATACGCGAGCACGGAACGTGATAATTCAGCTTTGCAGTATCCGCATATAAATTCAGTAATAAGTTTTTTTGAAATAGCTGCAAATTAAGTGAATACTGCCGTTTCGAAGTATTCTTGGATTTCTTTAATGAACGTAATATCATGATGTAGGACACTTTTAAGTGTTGCTAAGGTAAATAAGCCATCCGCATAAAAAACGTTCTTGTCATTTCTCTTTCTATGTAGGCTAATCAAACATCTTACAAAATCAAAGGTTAAGTGGGCGACGATTCCTAAGTACCGTAACCATGGTTTAKAGTATCGTAGTTAATAAACGAGAGCGCTTGAATAATAGACACATTTGGATCACAGTGCATTCGCTTACGGCAACGGCAACCARACAAAATGAAATAACAAGTTCACATTGATTGATAATTAATTCTTGTGGTTTAACGACTTTGTCCAGGAAACCACCATGTGCTTTAGCCAACAAAGATGACTGGCCAGCGAACCACCCTCACTGCATGTGTCGGACTCATTCTTTCTTCGGTTTTTTTTTACTGTCTCGATTTTGGAAAATTCTTTTGTTGTCTTCCTTTCTTGTCGGATTTTCAATTATTAAGACACGTCTCTATACAACATAACAATTATAGTCTTGAAACAACTAAGAAAGAGTGGCTAATAACGGTGGTCCGTTGATTAAAGTATTCACTTCAATTTGATTGTTATTTACAATCCYACGCGCCAATATTTCCACCTTAACTGCAAATTGTGTGTTGGAAACAGTGTTCAAACAGACACATTGGTCAACTTTTCAACAAGCAATATTTTTTACTGGTACTGCGCGAGGAGTAACGGGTTTCATGATCAGGTTAAGGTACACAAATGGCATCCTGGGCAAGCTGCCACAACACCTTCTTTTATCAACTATTCTGCCTTGAGGGGAAGATTAGAATTCAAGTAGTTTAGATTACCTTGACGAATGTGCTGTAATCCCTAAATGAAGTTGGTTTCAAGTACCCACTCCAAAACATGTGCGCTTCGGATCAAGCCAATACCACAGAAACTGGAAAGCCAGCTGTTCGTTTGCTGGTCACTACTCCGTCTCGTCCGATTCGAGCTCAATCTCAACTCCAAACCACTAGTGTCTTTCACAGTTATCCTATATACATTTAATTGGTTAACGTTACTTAACGTTAACTTAAATGCTTTCATACAGGGAAGTTTGCTCAGAGACTGACTGGAAAATATRTTTTTTGTTCTCCGCGCGGGTAATGAGCCTTGGGAGACAGATTGATTTTAAAATGTCAACGCAACATGCATTCGTAACTAAGTGTATCCGGGGTTTGTACACATTTTCCTTGCTTTTCTATATATTTTTGTATGATAAAAATTACTTTTTTAAATTTGAATATTTATTCATTCTTTTGATTATCTATAATATATTAAAGATTAGTGTTTGCTTGAGAAAATTCGCCGGACAATCGCTTGGATGCCAACTTCTTGTTATTAATATTTAAAACTGTTGAGCGACTGAGGCTGTCTTACTCGTGTAGTGCTTCAGTTTGCAGAAATAGATGTTAAGTTCCGATTATTAAAAACATGAACATGCTTTTCAAACAAAGAGAATTCGAGATATAGCAGTAGTCCGCAATACTAGTCACAAAGTTCCTGTCTCAGTGTAGAGGAGTTGAAGAGGGATTTCTTCTTATTGCTTTTTTTTAGGTGGAGGACGTAATTTATCACCAGTYATGTTGTAGACATCCTGATATTCTAAAATGTGAATTTCTAGAAACGACCAAGAAGTCCAGAATATCCCACAAGCCATCGCGTCAGTTCTCKAACATTCTCTGTTTCCCACGCATGCAGCCAATTACGTCGACTTTCCCGCAGTCACGTCTTCCAAGGCGTTTTTCCGGTTGACCTTGGTTTCTATTGCGATGTATTTTAAACTTTTCGTTCACTGTAAAAGATTGATAGGATTTTTTGGCATAGTGTTAATTACAGTTTCAAGGCCTCAAACTAACACTCTTGAAAGAAGAWACTATTTTTTCTAAGAAAATTGCAATAATGTGCTGAAGAGGCAAAGAGTCAAAGAGTTTTGTTTCGTGATAATATAAAAATTACCGTAGGTGACAGAACAAACTTTTACTGATGAAAATTTACCAGTTATTTTACCGTCGTCCAGATCACATGTTTTCCCGCCACCTGCAGGACGGACTGAATCGCTCGCAAACCACAACTATGTCAAACAATGGGACCATTGAAATCATTACCTGGACTGTGGACGACGGTATCTACAAAGAAATTCATCTCTTTTGAACCATTTTTCTTTGTTACCGCGAACAAAAACGACTCGTGCCGTCGTGTTTTTAATGGCTGCGGTACCTTCAGCGGCCGGAAGACAACAGTGGTAAATGCTGCAGGCAGTAACCAACAAAATGGTCATCTTTTCCTTCTCGAGTAAAAGCAATTACAATTTGAAGTGGTTTGGTATTTTAATGATATAATAATACCCGTCCAGATAGTCCGATATATAATTTTGCGTTGTCCAAATACAATTTTGTCAGCTTTGGTGTGTATTCATAAAGCTAGCGTTTGATCTCTAACGAATCACAGATATTTCCTTTAATAACAAACTTGTTGGAGATGATTGATTTAATTCGTAGGAGTAGTTTTGTGACAGCCCCTGTGGCGTATTGTGACTTAACACATCGAATACTAAATCTTTTTTGATTACAAACTACAATCTTCCCTGAAGAAGATATATGTGTTTCCAATCWACAAACATGATGTAGAAAATGTTGTTTTGCACTAACTGGCTGACAAGTGTTTGCTAACATGAAATTATTCATCAAAAACAGATTCAAAATTGTCACGTGTAACATTGAAAAGGTTGAAAATGGTTCTAAAAGAATATTGAAATAGGCCTCGTATTCATTGTTTACTGATATCACACTTCTCTGACACCTAAAAAACACCTCCAATGCCACGACAGGTGCACAAATCCCAAACAAAATTGAAATTTTCATCTTATTCAAACAACACTAAATAACATTTCTTGRAAAAAATAATGTATTGACAGTTCCAAAAATGCTGATATCAAAATCTTAAGCTTTATCTTCGTTATTTRGAACAACCGTCCCTTCATTATAACARTAATTCTTGTTTCAAGATTCTGAAATAATTTTCGCATTCRAATATGGGACGTGACTGAGATCTAGTCCGTCAACTAAAAATAATTTATAGATTTAATAATATTGTGGCAYAAAGCAATAAAAATCCTTTTTGAAAAATTCATAGATGACGCAGAAAGCCCGTGCTTTAGTATTCACAATACGTGTGAACGGCAGCGCTTTGGTTCATAAATGGCTTTGCCTTTCCAATATTCCAATGGGAATGATTTGTACCGCTCAAAGYGTAATGCTTTTCTCTCGCAACAGTGACTGACCACTACAAATTCCGGTCTTGCTGTCAACAATTGATTTCCTGTGGCTGAAAATCGAAAGCGTTTAAAGTTTTTATAATTTTTTGTGTCAAGAAAGATCACACATCGGACATATAAAAGATCGTTTGTGCGCGCGTAAGAAAGTCACGGCCCTTGCACACAGGACACGAAATAAACTCATTATCACCAATACTATGTGTTTAGACAAAGTCAAGAGATATCATATTTTAAGCTTTCTGATTATAAATGGAATGAAACTACCGTTAATTTTGTCAACAAGCTCTCTACAGCAATAAATTCTAAATGAGCTGATGGTTTTTAAGCACGACGCATTCTACGACAATTTAATCATTCTTAAGCATGTTTGCTGCCGGAAAAGAACCTTCTTTATTTAAACTTTTATTGCCAAGAAAATTTCTAATTGACATTTTAAGTTTTTCTGTTTTCCTCACAAGCATGAGGTAAAGCAATATGTTGCTGAAGTCCAATTATCCACTTAATGATTACTGGATATCCTCCAATATAGCAGCTGCAAGCCGTTTTTCACYMKTGTCCAGAGAACGGTTTCAAATACTGCGAAACCATCCTTAACAACTTAAAAGGTTTTGTTGATATATGGTTGCTGGCAATTCACTTCTGTTTTTTTATCTAATTTTRGATGATAATTAGTATCGTCAATACCAAGTGATATACGTACAAGATATGGTTTCTTTGATGGCATGGATTATTTGGTAAATCTTTTAAACCCTCTCTTAAAGGCTTAATATCTAAGGAAAATATTTCTTTACAAAAATGCTTATAAAACACTGTGCAGAATACATTAAATGTAAAGAGTACGCGAGAACATCACACTTGAAGGACAATAGTTATAATTAGATGATTTTAGCTCAGACCAAACTATAGAACTCAAAAAGCGGTCATATGATTGGGGCCTCGAAACACGCCTACTGAAACCTTTCTATGTTTTTATAATTTCATCAAAACATCTGCGGAGAACGATRGATTTCTCATCACCACACAACGTTTTTACTTTGTTTCCTGGCATCRTTTCTTTGTCATTATTTTAGCTTAGTTCGACCAAGTGAACCCAAGTGTTATGTACTAACAACCCCGGAGCCGTCAATCAACAATTAGCTTACGTCGAGTTTATGTTCCTGAGGCGTCATGGTGACGGCCAAGAGAAAAGAGATTCCTTGTTGAAATCTTYGGCTAAACATTTCAACGGGCCTTTCAATTCTAGCTCTAAATATTTGAATATTTAATAGCTTGCATTACTATGTACCAGGTGATGTGGAACGTCATCAAGGTTCGGTGGAAATTGCGATATATGTTGATTTAGATGGTAAGTGTAGAAGTGACCTTGCAAGTGATTTGTATATTATAAACTGAGTGACAGAAAAGCCGCTTTGCAAGGCGTTGAAATCTACTGGCTAGCATTAGACCAAGTGACAAGAAACATGAAAAAGGTGCTAATTCTTTCAGAAAAGAACACAAAAATATCACCTTGTCAATGTACTGCATGTCAATTACATATGTCAAGTATTTATTTCCCGAGTTGTGATTGGCTATTTGTAAGCCTATAACCAATCAGCGTCAAGAGCTCATTAGTCGTCCTGACATGTTAGCTTGTTTCAATGCAGCTGAGGAACGAGGCCATCAACAATACGTGTGTTCGTCAGAAGCGTGTGATAACTGCTACAGGAAAGTTATGGCGTACTATCCCTACTACCCGTCCAGGATGAGGGATTTTCGTGTAAGCTCGCTCCTTGAAGGATGTTCACAGTTTATTCCTGGCATGCCAGGCAGCAGTTCGTCTATTCCAAACAATTTGAATTCTAACAGTCCATATATGTATCCACCACCGTACCATCCACAACAACTGACCAAACAGCCATCTCACTTTGGGCCGGCCGCTATGGCCGCTCCACATTCTTCATCTCCTCAAGTACACATGCCAAGTCATGACTCTGATCTGGACACTGCCGACATGTCTCTGGACAACAAAGATCTATGGATGAAGTTTTATAACGAAAAAACCGAGATGGTCATTACCAAAGCAGGCAGGTAAGCGCAACCAGTCATCCCTTAACTGCGACGTGTTGTTCACCGTACGAATAGACAGCTCTCGTGTTTATGTGTGTCGATTCAAACGCCTAGAAGTCTCGAGCTGATGTAAATAACACGACGAAAGGGTAGCGATACGTCCACACTAAACAACTAAATCTGAATGTGTGATTATTTGCGAGAGATCTTGTCCTTTTTAACGATTACACTCGACCCCTGCTATCGCTCACCCACTGTGACTTTCTTCTTATTTATTTGTTCTGTAGGCGTATGTTCCCTCCTATTAAATGCCGTGTCACAGGACTTGATCCAAGGGCAAAGTACTTCTTCCTACTCGACATTGTCCCTGCTGATGATTGTAGATATAAATTTCACAACTGCCGCTGGATGGTCGCAGGAAAAGCGGACCCCGAACTGGCCAAACCACTATATATTCATCCTGACTCTCCGAGTACTGGTGCACAGTGGATGCAGAAAACTATTTCGTTTCACAAAATGAAATTAACTAATAACATCGCCGACAAGCACGGATACGTAAGTTGAGTCTTTTTGACTTTTTAGCAAGCGCTTGGGTGTCGAACCATCGGAAGTTCGCTGTAACAACGCGCACAACTTGGAATCAAGTTTGATTGTTTTCTAATTTTTCATTGGTTTTTTTGTTTTGTTGTTTCTCTACAGACAATTCTTAACTCTATGCACAAATATCAACCGAGAATTCACATCGTACGAGCCGATGAAGGWTACAAATATCCCCCAAATTCCCCATTTAAGACGTTCACGTTCGAGGAGACCCCCTTCATCGCAGTGACGGCGTACCAAAATGAAAAGGTATGTCCAACTAGCAATACTATTTCTGTAGTAAACTTTATTAAAGGCACCATGCTGTTCTATTAACTGAACTCGATAAAATCAATTATAACATGGAAGGATTTTCCACTGGTACTGATAAAACATCTATTGTAATAAATTGAACAAAGAGAAGATCTTCCTGGACTCCATTCAACTAAAAACATAACATGTCAAATGTCCAAATAGAAAACCCCGATTGSTGATTGAAAATGTGATCGAAACTTAATTGCAACACAAGATTCATTTCTCTATTTGAAGCATTTTTGTTATAATTTATTCTTTCTAGTCCTTTGTTTTGACATAGCAAATTTACAAGAGTTCAGTTTTTCTCAGTTAATGAAAGGAAATTTTGTATAGATAGATTTTTTCAACATTAATGGCCTATATATTCATGAAATGAAGACAAAAAAATCTCTTTGTAGTTTTAATTTGATTCGCGAGAGGAATAAATACTATCGTGGAGTATCATGTACCGAGTCTCTTTTACACAGTATTAACCTCTCAAGGGCTATTAACTATCAAGACTCGATATACTTGGTCACTCAATGCAAGTTGTTGCCCAAAACAAAGTAATTTCTTTTACTTCTGAATTAATAATGGMGGCAATTTGTTCTCTTTTTCATGAAAAGAGTATTTCAATTTCTTATTTGCTTTTTTTCAGATAACGCAACTCAAAATCGATAATAACCCCTTTGCCAAAGGGTTTCGGGAGGAAGGAGCCGGTCATCGAAGACGAATGGAAAGAAGGTGTATATCAAGTCAGCTTTTTTTCGCATATTCCTTTGATATTTATATGTGCATGCTTTGTATTTAGTATGAGTGTGAATTTCAAGTGTCAAGAACTTGGCTGTGCAAACACCACAAATTCTAAACTCATCGAAATCTTCCTGGAAAAAATAACCTCTTTCCCTTGAGAAAAAATTAATTGCGAATGAATACGAGATTACTSGTTGCTCGAATGATTTCATGCTAAACTCTTTATTACAATATTGGGAAAAAACTTAGTTCAAACAGARTTCTCCGAGATAAAGACAGCCTTTTGTTTTGTAAAATAGAAACAATTTCTTCAATTTTTRAAACTGTAAGCTGAGTATCTTGTTTTACGCTATTAACGCCATGTTTTCTCGCTTAGAAGAAGGACCGAATCGGGCAACGAAGAAGATCTCGAAGATGAAAACGAAGATCATAATAGTGATGACGGTGAACAAAGACGAGAAAAGAACGCAGTTTCTCCTGACTCTAAAAACACAATTGGTGAGAGAAATGTTTGAATATTCATGTTCTTTTCAATCAATGAATTACCAGAGCAAATGAATGGGTTGAATGTTTTTGTAGTCTTTTTTTTTGCTTGATGAAAAGATTCTTTGGATTTTAGTGCAGTACTGAAAATTCCCCTTTACTGGTCTTCGTCGTCACTCACGTGTCGCTTGCTAATCGTACTACGATTGTTTGAAAACACATTGAGTTTTTAGAACAAATAGTAAGATTTTTCATTGCATGAATGGCTTTCAATTAAGAAGCATTTTAGCCCACAATACTACTGGATTTCCAAGGCTTTTTATACGCAAAGTAAATTAGTTTTTCAGCAAAGAAAAGAGTGAAGATTACCCAGGATGTACTTAATGTCGCCATCTTATATAAAAAACATATTCAGTGTTTTAAAAACGTTTTATTGATGCGTTAAGTGGAAGTGGGTAAAACAAAACAGGTTTTTTTCCGTAGCTATTTACTAAACTGACTTGCTTTGCCTTAACTTTACTTTAGAGTAATTACGAAACATCAGCAGGAAATTCAGGAGTAAAACTTTCACTTTGTTATTRATATGATATCGACAGACAAGTGTTTTTATCTTTCTATTTTGTTGCAAATATTTAGACAGGATAGTCCTTTCAGATGGCACTGGTATCRATCATACAATAATATAGATTGGAGACATCATATAGTAATTACTACAGTCTTGAAAATGGTCATCGGAACTGCTTCAAATGTTTATTTTTTCKTGGAACACCGTTTGKTAACTATTTCTATAATGTGACGTTCCAAAAATGACCAATGTTTTACATAAAGAAGACCTTTAGATCAAACGTTCCACGATATAGTGTGGACGCTATTACATTAAAAAGGCCGAGCAGTCATTTTTATTTTAGTAACAAAGCTTCATGAAAACACAAACACTCTAGATTTTTGATTTTCAAAAACAGTAATTTGTAACGATTTGTAACGCTGCGGAATAGAAGAAGCAAATCGACTCAAAAGATGATTCTATTTTCAAATATTTGCACCATGAAATTGATAACAAAAGACCATTTTCCAGCTCAGATTCATTTAACGAGAATATTTGTTTCCTTCGACGCCACGCGAAACTAAAATTACCATTTTCTTTCAAAAATGAACGTTTGAACGAGTAATATAAGGTAACTTTTTGGTACCAGATTCTAAGCGCATAACATCTCGACTGCTATTCAAATGCAAGTGGTTTAAACCCTACAATTAGCCAAATAAATATGATAACTTAGATCTTCTTCAAAAGCATTATTCAGTTAGAGTTCTTTTGAAGGATTTGGATGATTGCGTTAAAGTAGATTAAGTTGAATGACCAAATAGACGATCCGAACCTATCTGACGGCGAGAATTCAAGTTTGTTTGCTGGCGACCAACTGATAATAGATCCATTCCCCTTGAGATTTCAAACGGTTGCCTTCAGGCGTCAATACTCTGTGTTCATCGTGTAAAAGGAATTCAAAATACTTCACTTTTGGTGTAAAAGATTATAGGTTTGAGCGGCAGGGATATATATACGAATTAATTGTGAACTTCATTTTCGCCTCGGTAAACTCAACTCATGGAGTCAATCAATTCTGTTTTAAGCTCTTTTATGAGATGTTCTCTGAYCGTTACAGCAAGGTCCTTAAAAATCTTTCGAGGGATGATGTCATTTTTGAGAACCCTTATTTTTAAACATATGGATCGTTTCTATATGTGTTTTGTTTTGTCTTTGTTGTTAAAAATGGTAATAATGGTTTTGACTGCTGTCCTACAGGAGTGTGGGTGTTTTACCCTATCCTTATATGATAACTGAGTTTAAGCTTCAATGATCTTCTGTTGACAATAAGTTCGATATGTATTGTTTATAGTTCTTTTTCGTGTTATTTCTAATGGTTAGTTGCTGTTTTGAATATATTTTCTATAACTTTTTCACTAACAAAGAGTTTCATTGTAGCTTTGTGGTAGAAATGAGTAATATTTGCGGCAAAGTTTCTATCTTGCAAAAAGAGTACGAGAAAACAGAGGTAGAAAAAACTGACTCAAAGACATCAGCTTTCTTAAATTKGTGAAAAAGATTACATTGATTTCCCTGTCAAATTTTGAGGTATAAACCTCGATATTAATAAAACAACCTTATGATTTCTTCAATTAACGGTCGGGGGTTGTTTGAGAGGCACCATTGTTTGTCTAGATAAATTGGTTCTCATATTTATGTTAAAGTGTGTTGGAAATGGACCTTTCCTTCCTGGCTGTGATATCGAGGAAATAGTATGGTGTTTGCTCATTTTAGYGGGGTTAATATTTGTATCTCATGCTTGGGTTTCAAAATCAATTTCGGAATGAATGGTTTGAAGGTCACTTTTATGCAATTATGGATAAATTGACCTTCAAGGRACGTGCTCAACCAAGTGCACTACATAACAACCATTTCCGTACTCTCTAAAACATCACCTGGTGACAATAAGTAAACAGATATTTTTTTGTTTTTTTTTTTGTAAGAGTACTTAGTGCTTTCACAGTCGAAAATTGAGGTCTTTGTATAACATATTAACATACTCAGTGAATGTTACTAAATATCCATAACCCTGTGGGAATACTTTCTTAGGGGTAATATGCTCGAATATTAGTATGTCGCAAAGTACTTTGTGAATGATTTGAGTGATYTTTTTTGTTTGTCACATGAAAAAATGTATAATTTTCTTAAGTTCTAATTGCATTGGTGAAAGTTTTTCTCCTTGGATAGGAGAGCTGATTTCCACAACAGGATGTTGTTTTCTATTTACGTGTAAATGACAGATCTATAGGTTTATGGTGGCTATCGATTCAGTGTTGCTCGACCTTGCTCGTCTTTCATGCGTTTGCCTCATTATATGTATTCATGTAAGACCGAGAAGAGTCGTTATATGATAACGTTCACATCTATTCAGTTGTGGGACACAAAATTAGTGCTATTGTCCTAAATGAAAATAGAACTTATGTAAAAACTTAGTTACGGCAACAGCTGGCCAAACACATCGAGGTGCTAAAAACCTAACACTCAAATCTCACCGCCAACTGAAAAAAAGTCTTTTCAAAGGATGCACAAACTGAGATAATAAAATGTTTCTGGTTGGATATGAGCCATTAAGGATGGGTTAGTGAGTGAAGCAATATTGTTACCAATAATACCTGTTATTAAATGGGACACTTTTTCAATATCCGCTCCCCTTACCGTTTTTTTGTGGATAAAGTATATATTGAGAATAAGGTATCTTTGTTCTAATAAGAAAAAATTGTCCCGAACTTGTTTTTTTGTCAAAACGATGCCAATAAATTATTCAATAGCGAAGTAATTTCACAAGACTATTAACCTGTTCTGCGTTCACTTTAGATATATCTAAAGTTGGGATGTAATGACTTTGATCTTTGCCGCTGCCTTAACGAAAGACTCTCCTTGCTATCGGTTTCTTTTAACGTTTTATTTTAGACTATTCATAACATTAAATGCCGAGTCTGTTATCAGGCTTATCCTTATTTTTAAAAAGGAATGGTTTTGTAGCTCAAGGTAGACAAATAATAAGATGTCGAGAGTCCAAGAGTTTTAATAAATAATGTTTGTATTTTCAGATCATGGTGACTCTCTGACGCACAACGGTGATGGCAGGGTGGATATTAAACCCGTCGTTTCACATCCACAAGATGACACGCGTCACTTTAACGACTTCAGTCATGCGCAGACTGTCCATCTACCTGAGGATACAAAGCCTGTTCATCTACAACATGATTCGAGTGACGGTGCAGTAGCTGGACCTTTATCGGTCCCACAACATTTAAAGGCACCCACACCTAGATCATTCCATATGGATATGAGATTCAATCCGTACTCGCGCGCGCCATACTCACTGAACAGCGGTTTTATGCCCTCCCATAGTCATGGTCAYGTATACCCATCATGCAGCATTCCTCAGGGTGTGTATCCAGGCTACCAAGGTAACCAAGGAGGATATCCTTCGTTCAACAGCACAAGTCAGGGTGGCTTTGGATATCCTGCAGGTATGTCAACAGCTACAATGGTCGGAACTCTTCCAAACGACACACAGACAAGTTCGGAACTACATAATTTGGATTCTCATGGAGCAGAACATAGAGGACATACACAATAACAAATTCATATCTATATATCGAACGTTAATATTATATCTTGGTAACGATCATATCTATATATCGAACGTTAATATTATATCTTGGCAACAATGATGCGTTGCCACCAAACTATTGCTGTGCAAAAAAAATATTAGCATTTTGTTAATTGCTTGCCTCGACACATTCTTTTATTTGCTATTGAATAGTAAATTCTCATTTTTGTTGGCTCCTGGAGAGTTTCGGACACTTTTTCAGATTATTTTCTTAGACATGGTATTTTTTTGAGGTAACGCAAAACACCAGTTTTTCCTGCTCAAGGTTTCTGGAAGATTTTTCCGTTTTCATAAAGTTTCACGTCATTAACGGYGAAGACTATAAATGCAGATTAGCATCAAAAGGACTTGATGAAAGAAAATCACATAAACAGAGATTGTAAGAAAAACCACTTGTGCTTCTTGAAATTCTTGGGGTTGGACTCCTTGAGGATTAGAAATTTAAAGGCTTTATTATTTACAAATATTCTGCTGAATTATTTAAAAAAGAAACATTTATAACAAAAGACTTTGTATTTTATTTTATGGCRTCAGGATTTGTGGCTGTTCGGCCTGAATCCTTTAATTTTCTTGTATATTATTAGCTAATCTAAAACAACATCATTAACAACAAAAAATAATCTTGAATCATATAGATACAGTGTTATATATGTATTGAAAATATTATATCGCATTTATTAGGGGCTTGTAGGTGCTTGACGCATTAAAACCTGTCTTTCAGTCTTCTTTGCCTTAATTGGCTATCTTATTTGCACGGAAACTATTGACTTGTGKATTTATTCTTCATACAGATTTCAAAGTAATTCACTTAGGGCCTCTTAAATGAGCGGAAGCAGATAGTTAACCCTGCTACGGACATAGAGGTATTATCTCTCTCGTCTTCGCYTGCATTATGGGGCATTGTGGGATTTTCCTGRTAATTGATATACCCTAATATGGTAATTATCATTCTGTTCACATAGTTGCTAAAATCACATAGCAAAGACTGAAAGAATTTTGTCCAATTAAGCATTACGATATAGCTACATGTATACTACTAAGTGGTTTTTGTGAGCCCGTGAAATGCACTTTATCATACTTACTACTGAATGCATTTATTTCATTTAGTTTGTTCAGAAAATTGTATTCAAATTTATATGGTGTCGGAATGCAATGAATGAATCTATAGCAATTTGGCTGGCAGCGCAGTCTCATGTCATAAACCGATATTCATATAACTTGAGCGGATTTACTTCACGGGTTCTTAGAAACCACTCTTGTTAAGRTCTTTTTTCAATGAACTTTAGTTCAGTTTTCTCGTCTTCGCTTTGAATTATATTGGTCTTGAGTATTAAGTCAAACCAAAACATTACGGGCTAGTGATATGGATCTTGATTGCAAGGAGATAAGTTCTGTTCTGTTTTATTACAGTCTAATTGTAAAGTAGTCGACTTAGTAAAAAATTGATTGTTTGCGACCTTCACCTACGTGAGATCATATTATATATATATATAGTGTTAACAATTTTATGAAAATAACAATAAAATACATAAGAGTATAAAAACTTCTGTATCTTTATTCCTGCGTTATGAATGTCGAAAAGGAGAGTTCAAGATTGAACAAATTCAATKTTCGGCCCCGCCCTTCGCTCAAAGTTGTAATTTAGACACATAGAGTGATCGCACGTAATCCGTGCAACTGTTTTTTTTTTAATTGATACAAATGAAGCATTCAATACCGTCTTGCTTCAGGTCCACTTTTAGTACAAATTAAGACTACTTAGATTTTGTACCGTTGCACGCGATCACTCTACCTGCTGGATTCTGTTCGGATTGCTAACAACACTGTTTTGGGGAAGGGGAGGGGTTAGAGAGCATGTTTTGTTGAACTGACCTGAAGGGTGCAGTTATTCTCAACCTTTTTGTCCAGGATTGTAGATTGACAAATTACCCTTCTCAATGACAACAGTATCATGAGTATTAATTCATTGTCATCATTCTCTGTTGTTGGTAAAGACAGTCAATCTTATCATCGTTGTAAAGACATTATTGACAACAAAAGTATTTGCATTAAAATTTTTTAATTCTTTGCAAGAATATTCCAACAAAAAGTTGTAAAAATGTGTTTTAATGCCATTCGCTTTTTATCTGGAGTTATAAGCTAAGATGCCTCCCTGGAATTATGAAAAAAAGAAAAGTGACTTCGTTGTTGTCTTAGTGGGCCCCTTAGTGTTTAAAACTGAACAACGTTAGTGTTCAGGAATGTAGCTTGGTGTATGAACCAAATTTTCAGTTAAGCCTTRAAAGAACATTCTACCATCCAGTTAAAGACCTTGTACACCCCATCCCGGGGGRTATGTTTTGTTTTAGTTTTTTTTGTTTATCAGATATAGTGGAAACATAGCGGTAAACTATACTCCCACKAAGGATTACATGTAAATTTATCTTTTTGCACATGCAATTTTTTCTTTGTGAAGCAATACTCTAACTGCAAAGTTCCTTGTTTCTTCTTCAGACGGCTGCAGTGCTACAAGCCGGTTTTACTTCAAAAAATCTTTTCTAGAACGACTGCGTTTGTTAAAATTTTGACCGTCCGATCACGTAAGCTTAAAACGTCTACTTAAAATAGGGCGATGGCTGGTTCTTCACTACAAGTGATTAAAGTCGTTATCCATGGATAACAGTTATTTCTGGTCACCACGTAGACCAAKAACATGCTCACTGTCACGAGATGTGAATTTAAATATTTGCAGGACAAACGTCTTGAATACGCTGAGTTTTATTTAAAGTCGCYGTCGAGTTTTGTCTTCCTCCATAGATACATGTGTGCATTATTTGGTTTTGTGTGTTTGTGACACATGTTACGCAGGCTGATAAGACTGATATGCTTCTTTGCTATTACTTTTTTTCCTCATTGGTGCTCCAATGTTTTTTTTTTTAATTTCATAGGCTTTGTCGAAAACAAATTTCTCCCTTTTTACAAAACGAAATCATGTCTTTGTGACAACGTTTTTCATACAGTTGGATCATTAGCATTGTACACAATGGGATGAACACTAGCACTTTGAGTGAGGCTGTTATTGTAGCGTTGTTTGTAAACATCGCCTCGTGGCCTTTTCTTTTGATGTTTTGTTGTCTATTGTTCGTAACAAATTATCGATCCTTACTTTACAAAGTGCCATGGATCACGAATACCAATGCTTTAACACCACCATTACTGACAAAAGTACAGAATGGTTAGCGTGGACTGATCAAAATACATCGACAAGTTCAGTGTTGCCCAGGTCACGCTGGAAGGAACTTGCCCCGCCAAATTGATAAAAACGCGAGACTTTAATCAATGGCAGTAGTGTAAAACAGTTTAATCCTCTCTTCTCTTTCACCTTCTCTTATATTGTTTATTTTTTATTTTTTATTTGCCATTTAATAAGTTAGTTAGTTGGTTCGAAACCCGTAAAGTGCTGAGGAGCGATCGGAATTGGAGGACTTTTTGGCCAGCGAATCACATGAGATAAAAGTGTCAAAAAAAATCAAAATCAAAAACAAAAAACCCCGACATTTTCAAATCTAATACGAAATGTGCTTCCTTCGCAACGTATGGTTTGACCGMGAAGGATTCGAGATGAGGTACAATCAGGTTAACACAGTGAGTTCCCYCTTAGACGGATACGCCGTCCAAAACATGTCGATGTGTTCGTGTTACAAGTAGTGTCGTCTCKSAGCCGTGACTTGTTGATAAGTAGGGTCCGTCTTATATTAGGTAATCGGACGACAAAATTGTCATTGACACAATGAAATAAGAAATCAATAATAGCTGTAATATTTTTATGAGATCTCGATAATTAGTTGGTTGTGAGCGGGGCCTGGACATAGGGACGCCCTTACTTATATTTTGTTTTAGTATCCTATAGGGAGATTTTGCATTTAAAACTTCGCAACACGAAAAGAGSTTTACGTTAACCTCTCTGTTTTTTTTTTCGTCTGCATTTGAATAATATAAAACGTACAAACCACTGAAAATTCTCTAGAAAACACTGATAGTTATTTTGCGACAAGCTACTTATATCTAACAGTCAGTTCCCCAGTCTCATTAGAGCAGAAACCTGTCTAACATTACAAGAAAATATCTTTTACAGGAAATGTATGCGAAAATATTTGATAGGTTGATTTGCTATAATGTGTTGTCAGTAATTTTCATCGTTTATCTGAGCCTGCTTAAATTTGAGGAAAATCACTAAAGAGAGTCATTTCGTTTATRTGTCCCACAAATAACGCAAGATTAATATCAACTCTATTTCTACCGTACAAACCGCAACGGTTAAAAACTCTTTGATGGGCAAAATATTAGAAGTGCCGTGCGAGTTGTGATTCGTTTCTTTTCCGGGGAGTGAGACAAACCCAACAGTACTCAGCAGTGAAATAAAAAGCATCGCGATAAATCATCGATAGATTCGACGATAAAACCGGACCCAGCAGCTATTTTTGATTTCTCTCATTTATGGCCTGCATGATTWTTGTAATCGTTATTCCATTGGTGTTAATTTATCTTTTTATCACAACGGCTGGTATTTGTATTGACGAATAAAAAAAGAATGCTTTTATGAAACACTCTTGGTTTGAAACACGATAGACAAGGCAATCATCCCAAGTAAAGTGGACTGSAATCTTATTTTCTCGGTAACGAAGTGATACAGTAGGTGTCAAGTCATTCATTCCTGGCTTCGCTGGAAGTAATTTTTACTTTWAAAAAAGATGACGGCATATAACAGCGACAATTCTAAGAACAAAAAAACAATTTTCGCCGAAAAAAATACATTCTACTGTTACTGAAATGTARTAATTTTGGTAAATGAGGGATGGACCGGACCGGTAATAATGGATCTTAATCATCCTAGCCTTGGCATTCATGACCACACACACACACACAAAAAAAAAATCAATCGATATTTCACCTTTGCTTTGGAAAATACGATSAGTTATGAGTTTAAAACAAGCATTTCGTTTTATTTAGCAAAACWATCATATGTCTTTTCGAGCAATTCATATAGTTTTACCGTATTTTAAGTGATTAAATTCAATAATGAAAAACGAATTTGGCAAATTCAGTTGAATTCTTTTTACCAACAATCTTCATACAATAATGTTTAGCTAACTTAGAGAATGGGAGAACTGTTTTTTGGTAGATAACTTGGGGAGAGGAACACTTGATAATCATTTTATTATTCGCAAATCAAGCGCATAATTAAATTATAATATCCATGTGATTTGATTAGGCATTCTTACGTGAAGTCTTTACAAAAGCATCTTGAATGCTGTAAACACAAAAGAAGTAAATAAAGCAATTGCAATAAAACTCGTTGTCATGGTCGATAAGAGAGATCAGTCAATAGTTTAGTCATTTTGAAGTGTCTCTTGTATATAACTAACGTAGTTAACGTCAAGATTTTCGCAGTCACAAACTTTCTCTTTGCTGGTGTTCTGGCCAGATAGGATAAGAGCCCGATTGAGGTCTTATTTCGTAAATCTTTCATAAGCTACATGTTTTGCGTAAATTTTTGAACAAAAGTTTTTGGATTTGTATTTACTTATACTATGTGGGCCGGAAGTGATTTTTGCAAATGGGACTTGTATTGGTTGATGGGGAATCTTGAAATCATGGCTCTTTTGACATTCAAATCCTTCGGATTATTGTTCCATTCATACGTGATATTTGGACAATTGTTACTTGGCTAATTTTAGTGTAATTTTCTTTGTTCAAGGTTGTTAGAGCCCGCCCTCTGGACACGGTATGCTAATTGTTTCTTACAATAGCTGTTTAGAAGTTCACAGGAAATGAACAGGAATACCAAACTATGGAATTGCTTTCACTGATATTGACTGTTAAGATGACAAGCCTTTAACCAATCATTTTCGTAGTTTAACGATTACTGAGCCCGAGTAGAACGCCTAGGTGATTTATGAGTGGCCATTCAGAATAGACTTGTTGTCTCGTYGTTTCATCAATAACACGGCAAGTGATTGATTGATTGACAAGCTAAAACGACAATTTGAGCATGCATTGTATTATGGTTTACTCATTCGGTCCAGGCAGAGACTACCACTAAACCGACGTCCGACTTTAGAAGGGTGAATTTTCACAGTCTATCACAACAACGCCAGTGTTTCGCGCGATTCCTTTAGTTCTAAAAATATTGACCAGGTCTTCGATGAATCCTTCACTCCATTTACCGGAAACTAACCTTACACGTGCTGACCTGCCATACTGCGGGACGGCAGCCATGGTGCAAGCAGGACAAAATCAAATCCCACAAGATTTAGATTTTGGTAAGAAATCCAGAATTGCTGTTTAGGAACATTATCTTATGCGAAGAGTAAATTCTTATAAAAAGGCAACATAGGCGAGAAATGAGTTCACGTTTGTCGAAGTAATCGTTGCTTTCTCTATATGGTCTAGAAATGATAGCATAGAGTTTATATTCTTATTGTATTTAGACAGACGAATAGATGCAATTAACCCTTATACTAAGCACCAAAGCTTCTATGACGGGATGCAATGCCACGATCCAACAACAACATCAGCTCAAAACTACGCTGTAACTGTTGGTTACTCGTCTCCGTTACCCCATGGGCAGCTCGTATCAGAACCGTTAAAAGTCGAGCTGGAAAATCAAGAGCTTTGGCAAAAGTTTCATGCTATAGGGACGGAGATGATCATCACTAAAAACGGACGGTAAGCAAGTTGTCTTTCCAAACAACTTAGTGTACGCCAGGTAATGGATTCCGCACTCTATACTAACATAGAGTTGTCAACCTTGACAGATTCGATTGTTCGAACTATCAGAATTTGATTTCTAGCAAACATTACCAAATGGTTCTTAAAACATCAAATGATTTCAAAAACTTGATTCCTGGACAAATGAGATATGGTACTTCTTATAATCACAATAATAACGCAATAATCTCAGATGGAAAAAAGCCTATTCTGAGCTGATTTCAGTCATTCGATTTTTTAAAGTCGTTGGAGACTCGTACCAATTATGTTCGCTCGAGAAGAACACTGTGTGGACGTTACTAAAGAATACAAATGTAATCGACGACATAGGAACATCTCAACGTTTTTTACGTGTCCATCATAGTTAGTGGCTAGTATTAACTATGGTGTCCATCAACAAACATGTTTCTGGCTTGTAATCAGTTATTTGAGAAGACGTCAAGCTCTGTCCCGTCGAGAAAATGTCAACGCTTAAACGACATTAGTTCCCACTAGGAAATGCTTTACTAATGATATCATAAGCCTTCCCCCACTAACAAGTTAAGAAACTCGTCATCCTTGAAATACTGCACCAAAGTTTGGAGAGTTGGTGTGGCTGACAAGGGAAGACATAACCGAATGACTTAATTSATTAGATGATGAATAGTTTTCCTCTGGATTTCCACGTAACGTTTTGGTACTTTTGTTTGCAGTCGTATGTTTCCTGTTATCCGAGCAAATGTTGAAGGTTTGAACCCCAAGGAGGAGTACGTATTGGCATTAGACCTATTACCGGCTGATGACAACCGCTATAAGTATCACAATACAGAATGGGCCATTACTGGTAAAGCAGAAAACCTTCTTCCTTCAAGAGTCTTCATCCATCCTGATTCACCTGGAACCGGCGCACAGTGGATGAGACAGGTCATATCATTCCAGAAGCTAAAACTAACAAACAACCTMAACGACCAGGCAGGACATGTAAGTATWTCAGGAAGGGATGATTAACTCGTTCTTAGTAGGGGGACGAAGAAAATAATGAAGATTTSAATCAGTACTATTAACCGATTTGTTTTCTAAAAAAGAGTTTTTGGCTTCAAAAGTAGAGTCGATTGTATGTAAGCTTCACGCAAGGGGCCTAGWATAGTAAAGACAGAAGCAACGAATGACGGATAAAGAGCCTGGTTTCTCTATATTTCATTGGAGTTGTGAAGAAATGAACTTGTTTACTGGCCACGAATATGCTTCATCTTTATCGATTATTTTCCATGCSAAGAAAATGTGTAGAAAATTTACTTCTGACACCTTTTTGCAAAGTGCTATTTGATAAATCAAATTTGTCAAAATGCGCACCTGGATTTCTTTGCTGAAAGCAAAGTTACCTATCTTAAAAATGATATTTGTTTTAAGATTTCTAATGGCTTTCTCAGGGTAAAAACTGAGAGAAGACGTTTTGAGTAGGATTTTTATTGTTTTTGATTTTTTGTTTGTTCTAAACTGAAAAGAGCCATAGTTCTGATACTCGATTCCATTGTAAAAACGTCTACATTGAGTTAATCTATAAAWGWAGTGGATAGTAGCTGTGAGTAGTSATAGTTGAAAACARGTAGGAGGTTTTTCTGGCTTTGGTTGGAACGCTTTGTCAATTCCCTTCACAAAAGCTATTAGTACTAATCTTATGACGCAAGTCAAAATGTGTTTAAAATCATTATATACTGGGTTTATTTGACATCAAATCATCATCATATATGAACTAGCATTCGTTGACTGTTATTATACTATCCTTATTCTGCTATGAAAGAAATTGTACATTTATGCAATAGTAWCCCCCACGACGACACTGTATTTGTATTCCCGCCCTTCAGCACCTTCAAACACTGTCCCAACACCAWCCATAAGCATTCTTGACAAGAAATCTTTATAAGCGATATCTTAACACTACATGGCTAATAACCTCGCAACTTATAAACACTGTTTTTGCTCTTACTTTTAGTGAAGAAACCTGTGTTTTCAGTCTTGAAGAATTTTCACACCAGAGATACACTTTAAGTCCGCATCTGCGAAGGCGGAGTTTGCATTTCTTTTTTGTTCAATATCATTAAAAATCTAAACAATTTATAAATCGTTTACTGAAGTTTGCCTTCTGCATAAAATTTATAACGCTAACATTCACTTGRCTCATCAGGTGAGCCGTAGACAGAGTACTATTAATACATATTTTATCTTGTACGGTTTTTGGYCGATATTTTCTCACTGTGTTTTTAATTACTTACTTCGAATTCTTTTTGTTGATTAAAAAGAAAAAGAACTGCACTTCTTTTTTTGAAATAAAGAMCTTTAGAGCCACCAGTTTCARAGATTGAGTATAATTTGAAGAGACGAAATTGAAATCTATTAACAAAGATCCTATGAGTTATACCTTGTGAAGTCTATTATGTTTAAGTTTTGTTTATTTTAAGAATGGAAAACTATAACAGCATAGAATAACATCACACCGAGAAAAAGTCGAATTGTAGTATTGCCAAACCCTAGAKATATTCAGTAAATAAGTTGAGTGTTTTTATTGTTTCGAAGMAAGTGAATATCATATATTTTTGTAAAGAGTTTGTCAGTTTGTCATTTCGCATGCTGCGAATCTCCGACATTTTCTCTTTGGTTTCTATTTATAAATAAAGTGAGTTATCACTGTTGACACGCTGTAAAAGATAGAAGGTTTGCTTGAACAACGATTAACTATTTGAATTGAAGGGTAAAACGTCACCTATATATTGAAAACGCCAAGAGTGGACGCCATCTTGTTGYACGTTACGGTCCAAATATTTTGTTTCGGTGCCTAAAAAGTTTTATYTTAACAGTAAAAGGAATGCTTAAGTTTTTTGATGTACCATTGATTGACGAATTTCCTCTTAGATGTCATACAATTTTTAGTTTTCTTTTAAGTGAAAATGAAGTAAATTTCCTGAAAAAAAGTTCAGCTTATTGTTAAGTTTTCTGGCTTTGCTCAAAACCGCCGCAGAATTAGTGTATTGTGTACTACGTGTCAGCTTTTGAAAGCCATAGAAAGGAAAATCTCTTGTACGATGCTTATCGGTCTTTTATTGTGGGTTTTAACTTTTCAATAATAGAGTTTGTGGAAAAGGTGCTTCTCTCCTTTAATAGTATAGTAGGTGATTACCAAAAAACCCGTTTCCTAAAGTATTCAATTCATTTGACTATCGAAAAGGCTTCATTTAAGAATTTTTCWTTAAAATCGGAGATAATTTCAAGAAGAAAACACAACTTGTTTTCTAGCGTTTCTATTAACGCTTTAACAGCTTTATTTCTAACATGAATTAAGCAAATGGTTTTTTCTTAAATTGAATTTTTTGGTTTTCCTCAACATTTGAGCTAATTTAACAATTAGCAACTTTTCGCTAACTCCACCCCAAACTGAGTAGACCTAACGTGGCCAAATAGAAAAAGTGTGAATTCATGTTTTGAGGTAACCCTATTCAATTACTATAAATATTAAAAGTGATTGGTTCTCTGTATACCACGGAAAACTTGTGAACATTGTAAAAATGGTTTTCAACTCAAGCTAAGCTGTGATTCTATTTKGTTAATGTATCGCTGTCCTGCAACTCTACACAGTATCAACAGTCTCTTTCACAAAACGTGAAAAATATTGAATCAAATCATCGACGCAATAACTTGATATAGTTTATTTATTACCTCTTGTTTCCCATAAAGAAAGCAAACATACACTATTTTTTGTGTTTTGAATAAGCAACTTATTTTCATCTTTATGATTTTTAACTTAAATTTGCGATGCGGCCTTCAAGAACTGCACCCATTCAACTTTTGAGGTCTTTAAAAACATAACTCCCATTCTAGCAAGAAGATGATAATGTTCCTAGTAATGCTTTGTGCAGTTCTAAAAAAAACATACCGTGCAGTCACTATGATAACCACACAAAGGAAGAAAGCACACAGGTAGGAAAACAGCAGCAACAAGGAAGCAAACTATCAAACAAAWATTGCGCGACCTAAGCGACCGGTGAAATGACAGAAGTGGTTAAAAACACTCATTTATACTACCGTTACAACATATTGAACACAAGAGAGGACAATTTGACTTCAAAAATATGTAGTAGACAGGAGTAAAGAATTGAATTTCTGTTTTGATAATCTTCAACACCAGGACACAATCTCTACTTAGTATCTCTAAAGTCTCACCKGTTTAGGCTCACCGGTTTTTGATRCTCATTCMTTTTAGATTCCAGCATAATTGAAGTGAATGTGAGAAAAGTATGCGGAAAATTACCTTAAACTATGAAAATTCTAATGGTGAACAACTTCTGCTCCCTCGATCTACCTATTCTATTGCAATTCTTATTGGAAATTTCCATTACATTTGTTGCCTAAAGTTTTCTGTGCAGTTCCATATTATCTTCAATGCACATACGCAGTTGATTTGTTTTTAAGAGAAACATACTTTAGTGAAAATATAAGTTAAGTATTAAATGAAGGTCCATTGATTGTTGTCTTTTCCCTTCTGATGTTCTCGAACTTCGTGTAAAAAAAAACTATAAAAAAGACAGAAAAACCCTKAAGCATTTCTGTTGATGAAGTACAACTTTTCAGAAAGAATGATTCTATTGCTGTTGCTTTATTATTAGTGGAACACTARACCATACTTTTCCTTTTTATAAATTCATCTATTTCAAAGTACACAGATATTAAACTTTATGCCAWATAAGCCGCCGTCTCAAGATCGCCCAACTTCAAATCAAAGCACTATTTCGACCTAGATTGTTAGCGCTTATTGTTAGTTCAGTTCTCATCGTGTACGGAGATTAGTCCTGTTACTAAGTTGGATTTCTATAAGACTATGATTAATTTCATCTTACGAAATGGCACACCCAGTCGTTATCTCCCTAAGTCAAACTACACGCCTACATTTTTTGCATCAACTTGCCAAAAAGTCAAGTTGCACTTTTAAAAATGATTAGAAAKCCAGTTGTTCACATTAGAAAATGTGCTAATAATCTATTGCTAGATCTTATTCCGAGAGAAAACAGATGTTACAGTCGAGTGCCYAGACACTTTATTTGAACCTTGAATTSTGGTGTGATCAAAAATATTGACCGAGAAATACCATTAGCACATCGGCCATGAAAAAAATACGCATGCTTCATTTCGTCTGATTCTTGCTACATCTTTTGTTTAACTCAGCATATCAAATGTGTTCAGTGAACATCAAGGGTATACCAGTCTGTATTTCTATGGGGAATGTTGACCAAGTCTCAGTTCAACTCGGTTTGCTGAGTCGCTCAGATGGTGTTGGTCTCACAGTCTGATAGTTGACCAAACGCAATAGATTTACGAGTTGGAGTTATCTGAGAGTGTATTTGTTSTTTTGATTTGRTGCTGCCTCCCTTTGGGGTGGGTTGGTTTGGGAGGGAAACTAATGGAATATGCTCAAAGTGGCCGAATGACGATGTACATTTATTTTAGAATCTTTGTCTGATTTTTTAAAAATTTATTATCTGTTGAAACCCGCAATGAACAGACAATGTTATTGTACTCTTGTAATTTTAGATCAGATTAGCAAAAATCCAAGTAGAAAAYTACAAAAATACTATTTCCTTTCAAATTACAGTCAAAAAGATGCAGCCCTTATACACTTTCAGCCACACCCCAAACCCTATGACTAAACGAAACAGAAATAGTTTGATAACTGTGTTCCGTGAAAGCCGAGTCCAAAACGAGATTTTCTTGTAGTACTGATCAAACTATATGAACTATACCGACCAAGGAACTACTATMTTCATCTATTGTATTCAGGTTATCCTCAACTCTATGCACAAGTACCGACCAAGGATTCATGTTATCCCCGCCAAGGATTACAACATGTTTAGCATGAAGAAGGGATCATATTATACGTTTGTCTTCCCTGAGACTGAATTCATGGCCGTAACTGCATACCAAAACCCACGGGTAAGTCATGACAAGTACTTTGGGAGGTACTGCGGAGTAATACTGATATATTTGTGTCATGACTCATATTATTGTCTGTTRTTGTGCTTTAGATAACACAGCTTAAAATCGAGAACAATCCTTTTGCGAAAGGCTTCAGAGGAAATTGTAATAATGCAAGTCATAGTTTTGGGATGAAAAGGTGAGTGATATATTCGTGCTATTTCATCGAATGTTGTGTTGATTATATAAAGGATGATTGCAATAATTGTATTTGTGATTATAAGAATGATGTTATGAATATTATGTGAACTCTTGATATACGAAGAGTTTACAACTTTTCSCAGGCCTTTTTAACCGGCTAAAAGGGGYGGAAAACCCATGTCGTCCTTTTAGGGTCTGGAATSKACAGTCTCTGGAATCAGGGYTTTTGTCRCGCCTAGGGTGATAATCATGACGAGAATTCCCAACATTATTAACTCTTCGGAATAACATTCGGTTCGGTTAATATAAATAATAACGTCGATTTGTATGTTCATCGTTGGAATCAGTCACAGACAAACACTTGTCGGATGAAAACAAACAAATAATGCAGGTCGAATCTAGATGAACAGGGACAATCATTCTCATTCTCATTGACTAATGTTAATTTTTATACTAAATTAAGTAGATTTATAATCATGCAGCTAACAGCTTACTGTATCGTTGACTTGCTTGTATTGTATTTAATTTTTTTTGTAATATTAAGTTAATGGATTAAAAGATCAAGGTATTGATTTATTTTATTTCTAAGATCAAGAGATGACGTCGATGAAACAGAATCCTTGTCACCTTCGTCGTCGACGGCCACTGTTGAACCTTGCAAAAGGTTTCGCTCCTCACCACACATGTCTGAATCAAGCAATTCATCCCCCCCACCAGCGTTATTCACAGGTACAAAATACAAACAAATTAAGGGTATGATAGATAGATGGATAAATAAACAAATGCCTAATGTTATGTTATTGTATTTTTGTAAATTAGGAGGCCCTCTAAGTCGACTTATGATGTCACAAAGATCATCTTCACATCACCCTTCTTGTGTCACAGTCCCTGTACAATCCAACTGTAGGCAAAGACCATATTTCACAGACGACAGCAACTCAGAGATTTACCAACAACCGTCACTTAGCATGACATCAGGATCTCCGTATAGCCTCTCTTCTCAGTCATACACGCATGCGCATAGCATTGGTTTGAACTCCATGACGTCACAAAATGCACTTCCTCACGTGACCAGACCTATYGTACACCCGGGATATTTTGGACATGCCCACCACGGAGAGCACACGATTCATCACACACCGAGTCATCTGTCTCAAAGCATCCCGGGATATAATGACAGCTTTCGGTCAGAAATTAATCTGGGTGGAAGGACGAGCAATGAATACGCAAAACCGCTGACCATATCAACTACTTTTCAAAATGGGTTTACTGGAAATTCCCAGTCGTATCCATTTCATTGAATAATTGGTATTATTTATATATGAATATTCTGGAATTATATATGAGTATTCTGGAATTTTAACTGAAAATTTCTATTAGAGTTCGTAGTGGGACATATATTATTGCACGAAGCTGCCACTAGATGTATTAATAAGTCAAGCATATATTATCATTAATTATCATTATACACATAAAATGAAGGCAAATGGGAAGTTTGTATAATATAAACAATGGAGGGAGGTTCTCYGGCTTCTTATTCTTTTCAATAGACCCTTTGAATGTAATGCAGCTTTATCTGGGAGTACAATACAAAAGGTTTTTGTTCTTTCGTGAATTAGAATCTACTGCTTTGTCCCAAAGATGGAGTTCATTCCTGCGGGACTGCAAGGGGTCACTGCTTTTTGAATACGAGATATGCAATTTTGTATAATATTATTGATCATTATTATTTTATTTATTTATCAATGTCTCGTCAATTTTATTTACCTAATTAATTATCATTTTAATGGCATTGCATTGCCACATTCAACCAGTTGGCAGTTAAAATTTGAAGTTGTTATCATTTGAATATAGATATTTATAAATCATTAATATAAAGATTTTTACTTATATTACTAGCAAATAATAATACAAAGATTAAGCTGATATTTAAGGGGAGGTGTACAGTTACTTGCTCGGCGATTCCAGTTATAGATAACGTCTATTACGTTAAGTTTTGTTGAATATTTCAATGGCGTTATGTTAAATAATATAATTGTAAAATGCTTTTCATGCAAAATAAAGATTGCTGCAAAACCCTGATGACAGCTGTCAATCGATTTTCCCGAGTTCAAGATCCTGATAGAGTGATGCAAACGGGAGAACAATGCTCAATCCAGCAATGTTTGAATAATCGTCAGTCCTTGTCATGCAAAGCACTCAAATGTCCTTTTTGTGTCTCATTTGGTGGCCGTAAAAGTCAACAAAACCGTATACTGATAATTACAAACCCTACCGAAGAACTGATTGGCTAAAGACCAGTTTTAAGTGAAATACTTTCGCACTTACGCCACAGTGGCATGAAGGGCAGCAATAAAGTCAACCGTGACAAGGATTTTGAATATTAAAAAATGACCCAGATAATTGGCACATTGTTCAAATGCCTACTGTACACTTTGTGTTGCTGCCCAACGGATCGTAAAATGCAAATCAGCCCGTGTTTAACTAAAGAATTTTAATGTTTAAATAGCCTGTAATGAGCATAAAATATATCGAGTTGCGCTGTGAAAAACAAGATTGTATGAATTGAATTTCTAGTAGAAGCTGAGCCGTATATCTGTCAAGTTGTGACTTTTCCAGTCCTCTTTACAGAACAAGCAGTATCACTGAATATCATGGATGATGGTAAGACTGACTAGTTTGTACTGTACTGGCAAACATTATATCCATTTCTGGATAACATGTCTTGCTTGCAGCCAGTTTCAGTCCATTATCAGTCTCTCAATTCATAAGACGATATTAACTGACCCTCTTTACAACCCAAAGACCTTACTGACTATGATTAAAACTGCATATTCTTAGACTGATTCAAACTAATTCAAAGCCAATATAATCACCGTTACATAGTAAAATGAATATCACTTGTACATGAAACATATGCAGTTAATTTTATAACAAGATCTATTTAAAAAACTTCAAAAATTGTGCCTCGCGAAAATATCTAGTMAATAGATTATACTGAAACTGTACTTGCTGTTGTGAAGACATGGTTGCTGCTGATCATGAAATGCTCTTTAAAGTCAAGGATCTTGATCAACAGCAAGCTACCCTCGGAAGATGATGCATAAGATGATTGAATAATGCGATAAAGAGTATAATGTTTATCTGAGCTTTGACCAAGCAATACATAAAACAATCCAAATCATAAAATRCGTTCCTCCCGACAAATTGGTTTTTCACGCATTGATTGATATAATAAAAAAGGTAATAAACGAAATTGTGAAATTCAGTTCACAAGGATCTCAAAGTACAAAATCATAAAAATAAATAAAAACGATTTATTTTCTTTTTTTTTTGAACAAAACTCAGTGCATGTAATATGGACATACATAGGGACTCACTGCATGTAATATGGACATACATAGGGACT